TGAGTACTGTCCGATGTGCCCCCCAAACAAAGCAAAACAAAACCAATGAAAGACTTGTTCTGCTCACTTGTGACGGGCACGGAAGTTACCTGGTGGAAATTCTAGAAAGTTGGTGGTTTATTCACCAACTTAGGGGAGACGGTGGTTTCTTCGGTAGAGCTATTCATTTGATGTGAAACACATTTTCAGAATCCAAATGGTTGATTGGCCCAGATGAGAGTTTTTTGTGGTTGTTTTTTGGTGGGGCCACACCTGGTGGTGGCTCTTTTTGTTTTGGGGTCATGTCCCGGTTCTGCAGCCCAAAACAAAAACAAACAAAAAAGAACCCCCCTTGCAGACCAGAGAGAGACAGCATAGGGAGTAAAGTATGAAAGAACCTGGATTGATCTCTCACACCATGACTGAAAAATGTCCATACAGCATTGCCAGGCGTGGTCTGGATGAGTCGCAGTGTTACAGGGCCTCAGCATGGGACCCTGCCTAAGTTCAAGGAGTGGCCCCTGAGCCTCCTGAGTAAGCACCCCTGGGATGTCCCCCCCCCCCCCCCTTTTACCTACAGAAACCTCTTAAACTTATTCTTCATGATGTGAAGGACACTTGCCTTGGAGGTGACCATTTTTATTAGTAAGGCCTGGTTTGGGTTCAAAGTGGAGCAGTAATATGTACCCATAAAAATGAAACCTCTCAATAAAGCCAGAAATGATCCCTTGAAACAATTAATTTTATGGATTACTATCTTTTTTTTTTCTGTTCAGGTGATGTTCTGATTAGTGTTGGCCATACCAATGTGTTAGGATATACTCTTCGAGAATTTTTTAAGCTTTTGCAACGTATCACCATAGGAACAGTGCTGCAGATCAAGGTTTACCAAAACTTTATTGAAATTCCCCAAGAATGGAAGGAAATATCTAATTTAATCCCTGAGACCAAATTTCCAGGAACACGGTAAGCAGTTTCTTTTAGGAAACTTTGTTATGCTATAGAATTCCTGGGGTCTATGAGGTACAGGGCCTTGGTATATTTATTTTGGTTTGGGGGACCATGTCTGGCGATGATCAAGAGTTACTCCGGGTGGGGTGGTACTCTGGAGACCAAATGGATGCCAACTTCATGCATAGGGTCTTATTTTAATGCAGCAATCAACCAGTGGTCTTTGGTAGGAAGGGGAGGTGTGTAATACAGGTGGAAACACAAGGAGAATTTAGTGGGTTTCTGAATCCTTTTGAAAAGAACAGTTTGCAGGATCTAAAACAAGGCAGATGTGAGAAAGACTAGAGCCTTAAATCTGGAGTTAAAAGAGCAAAATATAAAAATAAACAACAGGGGCGGGGTCCAAGATAGGTGACAGGTAACATGGGACAACATGGGTCTTCAGGGAAGTGGATGTGTCCATCAAATTCACCAGAGTCAACACCAGTGTAAGCATAATTTTAAAAATGAGTTTTTTTTAATTAATTTTTTTTTTAATCTTCTTTATTTTTTGCATTTTGGGTCACAACTAGCGATGCTCAGGGGTTGCTCCTGGCTCTGTACTCAGGAATTAGACCTGGTGGTGCTTGGGGGACCATCTGGGATCCTGGGAATTGAACCCAGGTTGGCCGCGTGCATAGCAAACACCCTACCCACTGTGCTATTGCTCCATCCCCAAAATGAGGTTTTTTTATGTTTTAATTTTTTTGTTGTTTTGGGGTCACTTCTGGCTATGTATTCAGGAATCCCTACTCAGGGGACCATACAGGATGCTGGGGATTGGCCCTACTATATGCTCCAGCCCCTAAAAAGCAAACTTTTAAAAATGAACTTGCTGAGGAGGCTGGGTGGGGAGAAGAGGGAATTGTTGGTCATTGGTGGAGGGATGTTGACGCTGGTAGGGGTTTAGAATGGGAACAATGATCGATCAAAACTGTCATCAGCAATTTGAATCATGGGGAATGAAACAGAACAATAAAAAACCCAACTAATCCCTGGAGGGAAACTCTACAGACCCTGTGGTATGCCTTTTCCAAGTGAACCTTTCAGTACCTAGTTCTTCATTTGTCTCCTGCCTGTATGGCTTCTCCTGGATCCTCCCCATTAACAGTCAAGCCTGTGGGAGCCTTTACCATGGCAGCAAACCCCACTTTAACCCCACTGTCCTCTCCTGCCCACTCCTGCCCGTCCTACCCTCGACTCTCAACTTGCCGCCTTGTGCTGGATGGCACCATTCCCTCATGAGACACCATTTCGTAGTAACTCTTCAACCCACTTTCGCTTTTTTTTTTTTTCTTATTGGGTACACCCAGCGATGCACAGGGGCTACTCCTGGTTCTGCACTCAGGAATTACTCCTGGCAGTGCTCAGGGGACCATATGGGATGCTGGGGATCAAACCCAGGTTGGCTGCGTGCAAGGCAAACACCGTACCTGCTGTGCTATCGCTCCAGTCCCTCTTACGATTTTTTTTTTGACCAATTCAAGGGTGTTCACGGGGCTATTCCTGGAGGTGCTTGGGGAGATCATACAGTGCCGGGGCTGAAACCAGGATCCTACCATGCAAATCACACATTTCGGCTTGCGGAACTCTCTCTGGTTCCCTAAAACTTTTGTTTTGGGGTTATACCTGGTGATGCTTAGGGCTTGCTCCTGGTGAGCTTGGGGGACCATATGGGGTCCAATAACTCACATTGATGATGTCTGAGGCCAGTTTCCTGACTCCCCTGAAAGTTTATACAGTCTGTTATTTCTGACCCCACACGGCCCAGAAAACGTTTCATGGAGATGGTGTGGTTGAACATGTCAACGTAGGTGGTGTGAAATCAATGCCCCGATTAAAGTGTGCTACTATTCTACTTACTCTTCAGTAAGTTATTTGGGCCAAGACTACATATAAAAGTTCCTTATAAAAAGTAAAGTAAAGGCCCTCCCGTTGATCATCGATTTGCTCAAGCGGGCCCAGTAACGTCTCCATTGGAGACTTTGTTGTTACTGTGTCTGGCATATCGAATACTCTCGGTAGCTTGCGGGGCTCTCCGCGAGGGGCGGAGGAATTGAACTCGGGTCGGCCATGTTGGCCGCTTGTAAGGCGAACGCCCTACCCGCTGTGCTATCGCTCCAGCCCTTATAAAAAATAAGACAATATTTGATTTATATTCTAGGATGGGAATAATTTAAAGGGACTAGTACTGTTCTCTTTTTTTTTTTTTTTTTTGCTTTTTGGGTCACACCCGGCAATGCTCAGGAATTACTCCTGGTGGTGCTTGGGGGACCATATGGGATGCTGGGAATTGAACCCGGGTCAGCTGTGTGCAAGGCAAACGCCCTCTCCGCTGTGCTATCACTCCAGCCCCTGTTGTCCTCTTTCCTGAGCAACAGCAGACTCTACATGAATGATTGCTGTGAGTCCATTTCACTCTCTCCTCTTTTCATTTCAGCAAAAAAAAGACAAGAAAACAGGCAGAGGATTCGACAATCGGTGATGACAATGAAAAGAAAGTTTTAGATAAAAAACCGAGGCCTTCTCTAAGCCGTCGGTCAAGCGGGCGTTCGTCCGTAGGGAGAACCGTGTCCATCTCCAGTGAATGGCATGACTATAAAAAGGAGACCAAAACTATCCGCGTAGAAGACATCAACTCTGATATGATTCACAGAGGTGACAGGAAAGACGTGAGGGCCCCTTCTCCGTACTGGACCATGACAAAGCACACCCAGGAGAGCACATCCTCCTCGACCTCCTCAACCTCAGACGCATTCTGGATGGAAGACTATGCCCACATGGAAAAGGGCAAGGGTCATCCTGAACCCCACATGGAAAAGCGCAAGGGTCATCCTGAACCCCACATGAAAAAAGGCAAGGGTCATTCTGAGACCCACATGGAAAAAGGCAAGGGTCATTTGGAAACCCACATGGAAAAGGGCAAGGGTCATTCTGAAACCCACCAGGAAAAGGGCAAGGGTCATTCTGAAACCCACATGGAAAAGGGCAAGGGTCTTTCTGAAACCCACCAGGAAAAGGGCAAGGGTCATTCTGAAACCCACATGGAAAAGGGCAAGGGTCATTCTGAAACCCACCAGGAAAAGGGCAAGGGTCATTCTGAAACCCACCTGGAAAAGGGCAAGGGTCATTTGGAAACCCACATGGAAAAAGGCAAGGGTCATTCTGAAACCCACCTGGAAAAGGGCAAGGGTCATTTGGAAACCCACCTGGAAAAGGGCAAGGGTCATTCTGAAACCCACCTGGAAAAGGGCAAGGGTCATTCTGAAACCCACCTGGAAAAGGGCAAGGGTCATTCTGAGACCCACATGGAAAAAGGCAAGGGTCATTCTGAGACCCACATGGAAAAGAGCAAGGGTCATCCTGAACCGAAAGTTTATTAGTTTGCAAATTTTTGATTATAGACAGATGCTTTTGCAAAGTTTTGACTTATGTGTACTGCATGCCTGAGCTGATGTGCAGACTTTTAAGTTTTCTTTGGCAGCTCGACTGTGAAGTTCTTCAGATACCTTCCCTGCAACCTCCAAAAACATCCCTTTGCGGTCTCACCAAGCTTATTCTCAAAACCAGCAAAATCATTTGTATCATGAAAACCCTCTGTTCTGTGAAGAGTTCCATTTTTCAGAAAAGGCAATGGATGTACCATTATGGTCCAAAACCAGAATGTATGAATGTACGAACATAGGTTTTTCTCTTGAGTACCCATAACCCTGTCCCCCCTCTCCCTCCCAAACGACAGATTTAACTGCTTTTGTTTTAGAGAAGTGATGAAGATAGTACAGATAGTACAACAGGAAAGGTGCTTGCCTTGCATACAACTGGCCTAGGTGTGACTCCTGGTTTCCCAGATTGTCCTCCCAACCTGCCGGAGTAACCCAGGACCAAGCCCTCAGTACCACCAGGTGTGGCCCCAAAACTATGTGACCTTTTATTCGATTGTACTCTAAGTCAAATATTTTAGCATAAAATAAATACCTGTTGATGAAATGATTACAAGGAAATACTTGTTGAAGAACTAATTAGGAAAAAAATGACAAGAAAAATATTAGAACATTTTATTGACGTCAGGTCAACAAAGAATGATGACCTACATTTTAAGTGTTAAGATTGTTTCACCTTGTTGGAAAAAGAGAAATGCTTATGTGTTTGCTGCTCTGGGATGAGAAAATGTTCAGCTCTTTTCTTCAGCATCACAACTCATCAAGAAAAGGTGTATGCCCCAAATTGCCACTTGCTGCCATTGACTTCCGGCCAGACACAAACTTCTTTGCAGCCTAAAAGCAAGCAAACAAAGAAAAAAAGCTTTAAAAAAAGTAAGAAAATGTGTCGTCAAGTAGAGTAAATGCTTTCTGTTCTTTCAAGAGTTTGCGCGAGGGCATTTTCAGTCAGCAACTCTGAAATAGTCTCTTGTGCTGGCGCAGAAGACACAGCTGTTTACGGACTGTTCCGTCAACTGCATGATCAAGTGCCTGTGAAAACAGGCAAAAGGGGAACTTCAAGAAAACCTGTAAATCAGGGCAGAACTGGCCTCAGGCAGAGCTGTGCTTTCCAACTGCTGTAGAACAATCGGGTCAATAAAATGCACTGATTACAAACTCTGGATCTTAGTATTCCTTATGCTACTACTTTCAAATACAAAGGTTACAGGTCCAGGGTTTTATGAAGAATGGTATTGGTGCAGGAGCAGCAAATGAACCAAGTTTTTTTTTTTTTGGGGGGGGGGGGGAGGGCATACCTGGCAGGATAGCAGTACTCGGGGTTCATTCCTGGCGGGGCTTGTGGGACTATATGTGATGTGAGGAATAAAAAAAAAAATGTAGTTGGCTGCATTCAAGGCAGGCGCCCGACCTGCTGTACAATCTCTCCAGTCCATTCCATAGTGACAGTTTGCAAGACCCAGTTTTGGAAGAGTACGTAGTGACAAAGTTAGGTGCCAAGTTAGTGTTTCTTTCCTTTCTCTGCGGACCAGATCCAATCCAGGGCCTGACACAAACAAGGCAAGTGCTCTGGTCACTAACGGTGGTACTCAGACCACCACGTGGCACCAGGGATCAAACCTGAACCTCCTGCATGCATGGCCTGTGCTCCAGTCCCTTAAGCCACCTCCCTCTGGTCCCCTTCAGATCTGCAGTGGCGCTCCTGTATTATCAGGCAGAGCAGGGCAGACAAAGAGGTCCAGCATACAGCCCAATCCTTGCCTTCAAAACGATAATCTTTAGGAATCAAGAATATATGTGAATAACACTGCATGAGCAGAAGACTGCCTTAGACCATGAAGAGAAGAGAAAAAAGCTTAGACGCTACATCACAAAGGTATGGTGGGGTGCTTGACTTGGGAGGAAGAAAAATGCCCAACTTGACTAACAGAATGTATCGATTCCCCCCAAAAACTGCCAATATCTGACCCATCCTGGCTTCCAACAATTTAAATGGTTTAAGCTGAAGGTAACTGAGTTGGATGAGGAAGGTAATGCACCCTCCAGCCTCCATGTATCGGGCGCTCGACAGCAGAGTGAAGCCTACGTGTTCCTCCTGAAACTAGACCACCAAGGAGAAGTTATGTGATGCTGCATCTTCAGTTTTCACCTGCTTACCTTGGTGACATCAGCATCGGTGACTGAGTCAATCTGTTGAAGGACGGTGGTTGGGGGCACATATGAACCAGCTACTAGAGCCTGGGACCCAATTTCATCCAGGAAACCTTCTGAAGACTCCACTGACATCAAGTACCCAGCTTTCAGCTTGTTCCTATCAAGGAAAGGCAGAAGTCAGTTTTATACGGCTCCCCGCCCCCCACTTTTGTTTTAGGACCATATCTGATGGTACTCAGGCTATCAGGCGAGATCCTGAGGGAGGTAGTCCCTGGCAATACTCAGGGGGCTGCAGACAGGACCTGTCCCATTCTGTCAGAGTGTTTGACTTGCATGTGGCCAACCTGGGTTCAATCCCTGACATCCCACATGGTACCCTGTGCAGTGCTGGGTGTGACTGATGCCCCCCCACCCCAAGATGCAACCTTTCAATATTATGACTTTTTTAAATTTCACCTTTCTTCTATATTTCAAACACACACACACACACACACACACACACACACACACACACACACTTTAAGTCCAAGCTCCTGCTATTAGTTATACGATGCTTCACTTCCTACCCAAACCCAAGATGCTCAAGTCCCTTCTATAAAATGTAGGGCACAAACCTAGTTCTTTTGGGGTAGGGTGGGTGGGTCAGTTTTGACAACACCTGGAAATGCACACCATTTTTTTTTGCTGGGAACCGAACAAGGATTTGGCCACTTGCAAGGCAAGTTAACGCATATACAATTGGGCTTGTGTTCACAATCTAAGGTATGGAGGTTCTATGGTTCGCACCCTTAGATATGGAGGGCCAACAATATGAAGTATCAAACTTTTTTGGGGGGGCGGTGGGTTGCAACTTCCAGCTCAGTGCTTTAAGATCTCTCTGGGGACCATGCAATGTTGGGGATAAAGCCCGGGGATACCTGCATGCAGAGCAAATGCTCCAGTTCACTAAGAATGTATCTGATTCAATGATACACTAGAGAAGTTTGTAATTTCTAGCTGCAGAAAATACTCAAGAAGTGTATTTTGATATGCAATGTTGTTTAGGAACTCAACAGAAACATAAAGTAAAAAAATAAATTAGTAAGGAGTGGAAGATGATTTTGGGGCGACTCTAGAATTAAAGTAACTATAACTATTAACAATTATGTTTAAAAAATAAAGTATTCTCACCTTAGGTGATGGGAGGCTATAGGTGCGCTGCCCATCCCATCTAAGTGTTTGCTTTACGTTTGCCTGAGAATGTGAAACATAGGGTTCCCAGGAGACTTACTTGGCGGCCTGGATGTCTGTGCTGGAAAGGCTTCCTTGAGCAATGGATTTGACTTGGTTATAGGCAGCCTTGATGACCTGGAGCAGACAAGTACCATCTGGTGATGCTTTGGGTTGCATGTCCAGGTGGCGGGAATTATAGGTGGGTCTGACTAAGGGGTAAGGGGGGAGCAGCTCTGAGGCGTTCATGGGTGAGGGTCCTTCACCCACAATGCCATGACCCCGGGGAGGGGACATCTGACCCCACAGCCCTAGGGAGGAGTCACTTTCAGTCACAGTAACTTCAAGCTCCTCCACATGAAACTTGGCCCCCCTCTCAGAAAGCAGGTCTGTGGCATCAGGAAACCCGAGCTTGACTTGGGTCACACGCTGCAAAATGGACAATCGCTGTGGCCATCAGGGACTCTCCCCGAGCACCTTTCCCTCTGGACAGCTGAGAGTGAGGTCAGAACAAATGCCAACTGGCAAGGGATGTCTCCTGGGTCCTTCAGGACAGGACTTACTCTGCTCACACCCCCACTTTTGTCCCCACAACACAATGTGTGCCAGGACTCATTACGTGGCTGCTTTTGAGTTATCTGGGAACTGTAACCTTTTCCCGAAACCTTTAACTGTTGCACCAGCAGCATCTCCGATGGAGGGAGCCTGGCTGCAGTTCCCGTCACTCCTGCTGTGCAATCGACTCTGAGAATGGTCTGAGAGCAATCGAACATTCAAAATATGGGACCCAATGGTCCTGTATTTGAGAGAGAAAGCCTAGTGTTCCTCGGGGATGCCGGTGTCGGGAACCACGCTCAGCGCTTCAGACACGCACACCATGTGTTCTCCCACAGGCGGCAGCCCCGGCTCTCACTGGGAATGAAAACAGTACAACTCAATACCACCTGTCCAAAGGGAACCAAATACCCCAAATACCAGGGAGGCCTTTCCTCCCTCTTTTTCAGAAACATCAGCACACTGTTTCAAGCACAGAGCACTTGTACTTGACAATGCTATCACATAGTACTGAGCTACGGGTACGTCAGGGGATTCATGCAGCTCGGGTTCCTGACAGGAAGAATATGTGGAGGGGGAAATTTCCTGAGAGTCAATGAGGTAAGTGCGCAACTCACATCTCCAGCAGCTGCAGCCTGGGAGATGGTGTAAATCCCAAAGAGCCCCGAGTCGGAGTAGCCGGCATTGAAAGCAGAAACCTGGAACAGAGGAAAACTGTCATTTGATGCAAAAGCGGCAACTTTCCCTCCGTTTACCTCATCAAAAACTTGTATCTTCAAAGTATAAAAAAAATGAGGATTTCATTGAATGTGTTAGGGACCGAAGTTCTCTCTGGATGCAGGTGCACCCTTTTCAGAGCTCTGATGAGTTTTGACTTTGAGGTCCCCCTAAACAGACTGTTTCCTTTGTGTGGGGATCTTTTCAAACCTTCATTTTATAACTAAAAGGTTAAAACATTAGCCCGTGAACAACTATTATTGCAGGTGCACTGAGGCTCAGGAGTACGGAAGGCAGGCTTTGACCTCCTTCTTTTCTGTGCTTTTTCCCCTTTTATTTTGGGGAGGTGGGTTTGCATACTTGATGGTGCTCAGGCATCACTCCCAGATGGTGCCAGGGACATATGGGGCACCAGGGATTGAACGCAAGCCAGCCACATGCAAGGCCATTGCCCTGCCCACTGTACTTTCTCTCTGGCCCTCTGATTACCTATTTTTATCACTTTGCTTTCAGTTCTAGGGTCAGAGTTAAAGGGTTAGGGAAACATCTCTGCTTCAAGGACATTCTTCAGATGTCCACAGTGACAAGAAAGGAGGTCCTGGATACCACAACACTGCAGTCTTGAGGCCGAGCAGAGTACTAAGCTCTGTAAGGTTTGAAGCAAGATTGCCCACTTGTTTGGCATCACTCAAGTGCTTGCGGAATCGTCTATGTTCCTATTCAGCCATACTTTCAGGGTCCTGCAGCGGGTCCCTGAAGACAAGCCCGGAAGCCCCCATTCTTAACTAGCGTTACTGGTGCTTCCTGTGCATGTTCATGTTTGCAAACTAAGGGTTTGGTAAAGTCTAAGAAGAAACGTGTTTCAATTATAATTCTATTTCTATACCGAGTTTCCATCCCAATGATTTTCTTTCCTTATTGTCAAAGAATTTTCTCTTCCCCCAGATCACAGATGTGCCTGGTGCCAGTGACTGAGCTCTGGACCTCTAACTTGCTCTGGGAGGTGCCTAGAGCCATAGACTCATCTTCTGCCCACCCCCCCGCCCGCCCCCACCAAGTCCCCTAACTGCAGAGCTGTTTCAAGTTGCCTAGTTGAACCTGCATCCTGGTGCCTGGGCACGTGTGGCACACACAGGGCCATTTTCTGGTAATAAATCAGACTGTTCCTGGTGACCACAGTGTGTGAGGTGACATTGGGGTTTGAACTCCAGCCGCTGTGACCGTCAGGCAGGCACTTTTAAGCCTCTGATTGTTCTCTGGGGCCCCTCAGGCTAACAAGTGGTATCGAGTTATACAAATTCATACTGAGTACTGATACTGCATTCCATCTAAACTATGCTGCCCAAATGCATCACTGAGTGAAAAGTGGATCAGAAAGAAAGAGAGCAAAGCCTGAATTAGGAAAGAAGAAAAGCCGAGGAGTCTGTTAAAAAGCAGCAGTTAAATTTAACTTAGGAAGAAGATAATGCTTTTGAAACCAAGCTTCCGGGAAGAAAAAATAAAGCTTGATATTTCTGAAGGCTCAAAGGGCTCAATCCCAAGTAAACATTCACAACGGCTTACTATTGGGCTGTTATTGCAGTTAGAGAGCAATATGGGGGAAAAAAACCCCCTATTATTAAAAAGTTTGGAAACTATGAAAATTAAACGAAGGAATAAAACTCGAGAAGGCTGGGGGCTGGAGATATTACAGTGGATAGGGTGTTTGCTTTGCCCATGGCCGACCTGGACTTGGGTTCTATCCCCCGTATCCCACATCGTCCCAATTCTGCCAGAAGTGATCCCTGAATACTGCCAAGCGTGGCCACAGAAACAAAACAACAAAAGGGGCCGATTTTAATTTCCTCTATTGGTAAAGAAAAATTGCTGAAATTGTACCTTGTTGCGCAATTTAATACATTACCTTCTATTAAAAGTTCAAAAATTATTGTGGCAACATGATCTGTAATAGTGTTAATATTCACCTTTAGCGGTACAATGTCACATACCACAGCTACCACCGAAGTGCTGGCATCTCTCTGCCACTGTCCCTAAATCCATCCACTCTCCTGTCTAACACCTCCCATCCCCCATCTCAATTTTATTTTTTAAAATTTGTATCTTATTATTTTTTTGAGCCACATCTAGCAGTGCTCATGGCTTACTTCTAGCTCTGCCCTCAGGGTTCACTCTTGATGGGGTTGGGGGACCATATGGATGTCAGGAATCGAACCCAAGTTGGCTGCCCTACCCACTGTACTATCGCTCTGGCTCTCAGCTGTTTGCAGTCTAACGTTTTCTCCCTGTGGGCCTTGTTTTATTACAAATCCAGTCTCTCTCCTTTGGACTTACTTAGTTCTATCCATGTTGGAGCAAAATGGAAGATCTTTTATTTTATGTGGGTGAAGTGGGATGTTTGGGGTTACACCAAGTGGTGTTCCAGGCTATTCCAGGCTCTGTGCTCAGCAGTGACCCCAGGAGTACTTGGAGAACCACATGCAGGGCTGGGAATTTGAATACTGGTTCTGCAGAATACAGGGTAAGCATCTTAACCTCTAAACTATCCCTCTGGTCCCTTGGATCTTTTTTCTTTTTTTTGCTTTTAGGTTACACCCGGTGAAGCTCAGGGGTCACTCCTAGCTCTGCACTTAGGAATCATTCCTGACAGTGCTGAGAGACCATATAGGATGCTGGGGATCAAACCCAGGTGGCTATGTGCAAGGCAAACGCCTTTCCCATTGTCCTATCATGCCGGACCCCATCTTTACATTTTCTTAACTGGAGTATCATGTTAATGGCTTTATCATTTTTCATTTTTCCTGTCATAAAGTATATTCTAAAGTATTTCATTCATTCATTCATTCATTCATTCATTCATCATCCTGTGATTCGTCGATTGCCTCGAGTAGGCCCCAGTAACGTCTCTTTCATCCTAGCCCTAAGATTATATTCAAGGCTCTTTAGGAGAATGAGACCCATCATTGTTACTGGTATTTGGCATATTTGGTACGCCACGGGGAGTTTGCCAGACTCTGCCCTGTGGGCAGGCTACATTCGATAGCCTGCAAGTTTGTCCAAAGTAGGAATGAGATAATAAGATGTCATAAAAAGATGTCCTGAGAAGAAGTCTCCAAGACTCAGAGACTATAAATCCTAAAGTAATAAAGACTTTTTATTATAAAATATTGCCTTTTCTTTTTAACTTAATTTCAGGCTGTGGGGATGGATCGTTAATGTTTCTGTGTCTATATATATATATGTGTGTGTATGTGTGTGTGTGTATATATATATACGCACACACATATATGCATCTTTGTCATCTAAAAAGCATATAAAATTAAAAAAAAAATGGTGCGAGGGATCAAACCCAGGCACACATACAAGGCAAGAAGAAATGAGTGATCTATGGCGGAGCTGCACCTTTGATCCTCTCGGTGTATTTTCTTATAGAACTGACTGAAAAGAGTGAAATACAGGAAGCACACCAAAGAACAGGAAGGGATAGAAGAAAACAGAGCGGGGGGTGGGGTGGGTGAGGGGGAGAAGACCAAAATCAAGGGGATTATTTAATGTGTAACACTTTATCCTACAGGGAGCTAAAGTGTTAATCTCTGATTTTGGTTACTTTATGTATTAAAGTTGCTGAAAGATGACAAGTTTTTGATAGACTCAGTAATGTATTAACATCAAGTCCGACCATCTCTTACATTTTCTAAAGCTTTTAGCTTTTACCTTCAATGGCCGTAAAGCTGGGGAGATCCTGGCCAGGCTGAGGAAGGTGGGTTCCGACCGCCCCCTCTGGACTTAATAAAATGCTCTGACTCCTGTACCCCCAAAGGTATTAAAGTCAGCACAAAAATGATCAGGATGGTTTAAAATGAGATTAGTGAAAAGAAGATGAGAGACACCAGCTTCTCAGACTCACATCAAATGGTTGGTTCACTCCCTTGGCAACAGCCTGGTACAGAGTGCTGGTGGCATTGCTGCCTCTTTTGACATGGGGTCCGGCCCCCAGGACATGCTGGAGGACACTGAAGGCATTGGCTTCCGCACTCCCGATGGCCGCACTTTCTGCGACAAGGGCGGCATGGACAAGACTGTCTCCGTTCTGTTTCCGAATTTCACCTGGATCGCGGGTGGAGAGAGCGAGAATCTGCAGGATTTCCCTGAACATCGTGATCACCTGGTAAGATTAAGCTATCTCAAAGCTCAGTACCATGTCATCCTCCATCCTTACCCCAAACACGCACACGCACACACACACACACACACACACACACACACACACACAGAGTTTACAATGCCCAGGCACTGTTTGAGGGAAGACACAAGGGCTGTTCCACTCAACTTGCCCTAATAAACCAAAATGCTCACCTCCACGGTACTGACTCTTGGCGCCAGAGAGACCAAGCCCTCCCCTCATATTCAGAAACTGCTCAGCAACTTGCTTCAGAACTGGATGACTCACACCTATTTCAACAGAAATAAAAAACAAGCCTTTCTAAGACATCCATTCAGCAAATACAGGACTACCCAATTCAAGGACAGACAGTTAAAAAAAAAAAAGAGTTCTTTGCTAAATACCCATTTAGAACATTTCAAGCATTATGCTACTGATCACTGTTTCTAACATGCCTCCTGGCACTTCCATCAAAGCATGAGGCCTACCTCAAGTGCTGGACAGTTATAATAAATCCCATTACATGGCTGTACCATCATTCATTGAATACATTCTTTTCCCTTCTTTTTTTTTTAACCACACTGAGGGGTGCTTCAGGTGACAGGTGACCACTACCTGAGTTTGGTCTGAGGTCACTCCTGCTGGTGCTCAGGGGATTGACTGGGGGTCTCCTGCCAGAAAAGCATGTGTTCACCCCCTTGCATTCTCCACCCAACCCACCATCCATTCTGCTTTAAGCACGTTGCCAAAAGTTGACTGTTTCCACAACCTGGGGCTGTGCATTGGAGGAAACGATCAGGAGAGTGAAAGACAGACTGCGGCAGGGAAAAGAAATCATCCTGAACATATAAAAGATAACTCCACAATAAAAAAAAACCCCAAAACTAAACAATCCATCTTATCAATGGGCAAAAAACTGAAAGACTTTTTTTTTCCTCCAAAAACACTTTTGCCAAAGGGGGGTTCAAACCCTCTTGATGCCTGCCTTCTCCAAGATCCGACAATGAACACTCCAGGACACAAGCCTGACAAGTAATCCTAGAACTCCATTCTCTGTTATGCTCATGAAATTACAATTTAAAAGGAAGCCAGCTGACTGCTGGTGGTCTCAACTCACCAAGTCCGATCAAAGCCATTCTTGCACTTGTGAAGTGGTTCTGAACGAAGAAATGTAACTGAGGAATAAAAATTAGTAAGGTTATATTGGTATAAATCTGGCAAAATAAAGGGTTACCCCAGGGCTGAATTAGACACTGAGATTTTTATTTATCTTTAACTTAGGGAAGCAAGGTAGATTTTACTCAATGAAGCTCATTTAGAAAGATGGGAAGGGGAAAGGAATTTGTGTTCATCAGAGAACACAAACTTTTAAGCCAAGAGACACAAAAACAAGAAAAGGGAGTGTTCAAAGGAGAAAATGGGCTTGAAGAGGAAGCTGAGATTTAATTTTAAATACTCCACTTAAACGAATGCATGTACATAAGTGAAGGTACTAAAACAAACGTGCATCTCAAAACACCATCTCCTCTGTGCTTTATCCCTGGGCCCAGTCTGCAGGCTGGCATGGGAGGAGGTTCAGTACAGATTCTGGACTCCATCTAAACTTCACCCTTGGATTATATACATCACGGTCACGGTCCTCCCGTTGTTCACATCGATTTGCTCGAGTGCGCCCAGTAATGTCTCCACCGTGAGACTTGTTGTTGTTACTGTGTTTGGCATATTGAGTACGTCATGGGTAGCTTGCTGGGCTCTCTGAGAGAGGCGGAGGAATCGAACCCGGCTTGGCCGGGCTGGCTGCGCAAAAGGTAAACGCCCTACCGCTGTGCTATTGCTCCAGCCCGATTATATACATAATATATACTATATATAACATATATATTACATAATACATGTATTATATATATGTTAGGTCTGAGGGTCAGTGCCATTAACACTGACCCTCAGACCTAACATATAAAAGAAAAGCTAATACACATCACCTATTTTGGGGGTGGGTAGGGGTAGGGCCGCATCTGGCAATGCTGAGGGCTGATCCCGGGCGGGGCTCGAGGGCCCATACAGAGTACAGGGATCGAACCCAGATTGCCGGCGTGCCAAGCCAGCGCCTTCTCCACTGTACTATTGCTCCAGTCCTAATACACATTCTTAGCAAGAGCACCACTGCTCCCAAGAGTTCTTGAGGGTAAGAAAAAAGTACAGTGTCTACTTTTTTATCTGTGGTCTTATGCCTGGTTAGCACACCGCCATCACCAACACCACTGTCACCATCTCAGCAGAGGGGGCATGGAAGGGTGAAAAATAAACCAGAAAAGTGGTTTTAAAAAAATTGGCTTCAAATGTTCCTGGGGGGAATGAGTGATATTGTTGAGCATCACTAGGCCAAGAAAACGAGACTAAACTTTCAATCGGCCTAGCAGAATTTGAGCCTTAAAATACAGTACCCATATTGGAATACTGTCTGACTGAAATCCAGTCATGAACAACTTTGTAACTGTGTTAATCACACACGCTGATTCAATTAAAATAAATCAAAAAGAAAAAAACTCACATTTATGAAATCACTTTGGAAAGTCATTTTCCCCTGCCCCTCTGTTGAATGCTGCCATTGCTTAAAAATATTCCAGCATCATTTTTTGGACACTCCCAGCAAAATTCAGAGTTTACCCCTGGTTCTGTGCTCAGAGATCAATTGCCTTGGATCCCTTTGACCTACGTTTGAATCCCTCGTACCACACAGGGTCTTCTGAGCACTGCTAGGTGTCACTCCTGAGCACAGAGCCAGGAACAGTATCTAGTACTTCTGGATATGGCCCAAAACACAAAAAGGAAGAGGCTAACAATTGGTGAGAAAATTCATTTTGTTATTTGTCTCTAAACACTCAATTTTCCAAAAAAGATGGGAGTCATTTGATATGTCCTTTCATAAACTTTTCCTCCTCAATATGCTATAGAATTCTTACCAATTAAAATTTTTGAATGGCTGAATAGCATTCCACTCTATAGACACTTACTACATTACTTAACTTGTCCCCTGACAAGGGAAATTTAATTTGCTTCTAATTTTTACTTTTAAAAATGAGGCAAAAAATTTGCAATAATCCCATAATAGATGGCTTTGTGGATAAGATTGTTTCGCTTTGTGGACTCTTTCTGCTTCCTTAATAACATTATCTTCATGAAGGTGAATTTGATTCATGAAAAATTTTCAAACGAACCAGAGCCCTCTCTCATGAAAAGTGCCAGCTTCAAGGCGCACAGTAATCGCTCTAACTAACTTTCTGCAGGTGCCATATGCACCTGGGCCTGCAGAATGGATCCTGCCAAGTAGTGCTGATGTTCAACCCTGAAGCAGCACCCCAAAATAACATCGTTGATGTTCACTAGCATCCATGGAGATGCCTAAAGAGGCATGTACCTTGGATACTAAAAAGATCTGTACGTTTGCCACAAGTGAGGGGGCACTCTAGATAGGCACCAGACTCAGAAAGTTTTCTGGGCAAAAGAAATCAAATCCCATACCACATATGTGCAGTTGTAGAAAAAAAATGTCGTGAAGATGACGATTCACCAAGTCTGCGCAACAGTATTATCTCCACTTGTCACCACTTTAAGAAATCTAGAGAAAGTCATTATTTCTTACAGAAAGTAAGAAATAACCACTGACTGTCATCATGTAACTACAAGAAAAAAGAAGGGGGGGTGGAACTTACGAATGTCTCATACTAAATTACTGATAGATAAGAGTAATTTCTTTCTTTTTTAAAAATATGAAATGCTTCACGAATTTGCATCTCATCCTTGTGCAGGGGCCATGCTAGTCTTCTCTCTATGTTCCAATTTTAGAGGATGTGCTGCTGAAGCGTGCACCAAACAGTTTCTTAGTCAACAGATAAATCAAAGGAAGTAATAAATATAAAGTTTAGATTTCTGCAGTGGGTAACCAGGATGAAACGAGAATAAAATCCTTAACTAAAAAAGTGTGGACATCACAGTAGATCCTCAGACAATGACTTTAGTAACATCACTACAAGATATAACCATGATCACAAATTGACTGTTGGCGTATTTAATGCCTGAAACAACTGTATTATGAACAACTTGGTAAATCTGGTGTGATAATAAAAAACCTTTTTTAGGGGGAGGAGAGAGGTACAATGGGATAGAATTAGAAAATTAAGATTATATGAACTATGAACATCAACACTTTAACATTGCAGACTTAACAGCGTCTCATGCTTTGAAACAAGTTCTGCAAGAATAGACCTGCCACACGAGATGGATATGGGTCCACAGCAAAGTAAGGCTGTTGTGCTGTGACAGAGACAGTAAGCCCACAAGGGTGGAGTAGGAGGGAAGGAAGAGGGCTTCATCATTTCCTACAGATTCAAAGATTTTGCTAAGGGCAGACTTTCAACATCAACTTACAATTTGAATACTATTTTATTTTACTGTTTTGGTTTGTTTTGGGGCCACATCCCGTGATGCCCACGGCTTACTCCTGGCTCTACGCTAAGAGGTCACACCTGGTGGTGTTCGGGGCACCAGCCATGTGCAAGGCAAAAGTCTTATCTATGTACTAGCTCATCAGCCTCATACAAACTGTCTTCAAAAAGATATGTATCACAGATACATATGAGCCCTGCTGAAAGAAAATATTTCTAGATAGTAACATTCAGTGCTTTTACTTGGGTGATGTAGTCTTTTTCTTAATTTCTTGAATTTCCTTCTGTTTCTTTTGGCTTTTTGGGTCACACCCTGTGAAACTCAGAGGTTACTCCAGGCAGTGCTCAGGTGAACATATAGGAAGCCAGGGATTGAACCCAGGCTGGTCACATGCAAGACAAATGCCCTACCCACTGTACTATCATCCCAGGCCCAATTTCTTGAATTTTCTATAATGATCATGTATGTAATACATGATATATGCACTACACCTTATATATAATACACACACACACACACACACACACACACACACACACACACCCTTATATAATACTTTAGGGTAAAAGATGTTAAAAACAAACAAACAAACAAACAAACAAAAAACCACTATTCAGATAAAATCTCGTCAAAAGTAAACTGACAGAAAAAGCAATTTCTTAAATTAGAAGATAAATTTAGCAAACATATCAGAAAAAGAATGTTCAATATGTTTCATATGCAACTAGGAAGATCATAAGACATATACCTCCTCTGACGTCACCTTCCCAATCCTATAATCAGGACAGTACAAGGAATTAGCTAAGGTATTTTTGTAGGCAGCAGCATGCAGATTTTCAATGACTTCTGTAAATGAGCAGAGAAACAGTTGAAGAGATACAATTAAAAATAAGAAATCTTCAGCATCTAGAAAACAAGTGACGACACACTTAGGTCATCCTAAGGTACTTGCATGTTAAGACTTGCAGCCTTGACAATTATACCGGTCACATGTGCTGAGAAGAAAAGATTATTTATAACAGCAGCTTCTATGAGCCGAGTGCACCTGCCTTTAAGCCCACTTCTCTACCGTTAACTTTGGCACCATGTGGTTAAGTAGAATGGCCTTGGGTTTCATGAAGTCTAAACCTAGTTTTTCAGTTCTGCCACCAACATGACATAAGTCACTTGACGAGAAATTTCCTTCCATTTCTCTTAGGAGTTATGAGGTCTGAATTTGTCTGTCTTAGGTCATATTACTCACTTTCTGGGATCAAATACACTTTACTGGTGCCTAAGTACTGTCCTGTGTATCTGCTTGGTCCTCTGCCCGAACTATGTCCCCTCCATTTGCTCATTATTTGGCAATAATACTACACCAGATAGAGTGATAGGTAATGGAAACACAGATGAGTAAGAAATGACTCGGACCCTCCAAATGTTGAGGAAAACCTGAAATAGCTATTATGGGGATGAAGGCAATTGCGCCTCCAAAGTACAGCAGGGGAGGACAGTGGGAGAGGGAAAGGAGTAACAACACCGGGGTGAGGAATGAGTAGAAGTTTCCTAGGTGAAAAATTTAGAAACAGAAGCAGACAAAGAAATCAACTACAGCGAAGGAATGGAATCACGGAGGGCAAGAAAGAACAAGAAACAAAAGAGGTAGGGAGGAGGCATGAAAGTAAATGTATATGTTAAGTTAAAGCGCTTGGACTTTACTCCAGAGATAAAAAGCCATTAAAGAATCTGGAGTTAGAGTTAACAGGGGATGGACTGAAGGCAGAAGCAAAGGCAGAGACTCCGGCCTAAAGGCCATAGTCATTACTGTACTACTGATTTCTGGATTGACTTTTTAAGAAACTTTTAAAAACTGATCTTTGTGACTTACAGTATTGTAATGATGGTTTTCCGTGCATGTAACTCCACACCTGCAGCTATGCACCCACCTCCCTGCCCCCAAGACTACACAAATTATTCAGAGAAGATGAAAGCTGGAGGCTAGTTGCTGCCAATGTGGATGGAATTATCTTTTCCACAATGCTACCATTTAATTTTTATTTCAGAAGTATAAAGACCACGCTCCACTGTGACATTAAGCATCACCATGACACGGTACTACTGGAGACCCTCTGGACCCCTGTGCTGAGTGAGCTGCATTCCTGGCCGAGCCCTTGCTCCCACTCACTTACCTACATCTAGAAACTGCGGCTCCTCCTAGTGGTGCTTATTTACTAATTTGTTTTGCTAACTGGACTTGTCAACACTGTAAAATTACACATTGCATAAACAAAAAAAGTAAATATAAAAATGTCCTCATTTAAATTTTTTTAAAAATAATACTAAGTTGCTTGCTTTGGAAAGAGGCAATGAGGTGAGTTGAACAGAAATAATTCTTAACAGGGCCAGAGACACTGTACAGGAATTAAGGTGTACCTCGCATGCAGCTGGGCTGTGGTCTCCAGCACTACCAAGAGTGAACCCTGACCACACGGTTAGGAGTAAGCCCTGAGCACCGCTGGGCATGACCCCTCCAAAAGGTTTTTTTCCCCCTTTTCCTTTTTGGGTCACACTGGCAATACACAGAGGTTACTCCTGGCTTCTGCACTCAGGAATTACTCCTGGACGTGCTTGGGGGACCATATGGGATGCTGGGAATTGAACCTGGGTCGGCCACATGCAGGGCAAATGCCCTATGTGCTGTTCTATCGCCCCATCCCATTTTTAGTTTTTAGGTTCTTCTTTTGAATGGTGCGGGAGAGCCAACGCAGGCGCTGGCACACGTGAGGCCGCGGCTCTACTCCCGAGCGGCAGCACTTGAACCCAAGTGGGGAAAAACAACGGTAATCGCAACTCTCTCTCTCCCATCAATTTTTCTCAAAAACACAGTACCTTTGGGGCCAGGGAGATGGCTCAAAGGGCTGGGGTGCATGCTCTGCCCAAGAGAGGTCCCAGGTCTCTGCATGGAGCACCCCAGGGGCTGGCCCCAGTAGTTCCCAGCACTGTGGACTGAAGCAGCACCAAGCACCAGGCCCAAACACTAATGTGTCCAGCATATACAGCCAGGGCAAGTATCAGTGGGCATGCCCTGGCCCTGATGACCGCCCACGACCCACGCACCCAAACAACGGCACTATTCTGAAAACACACTTACGAGCCTGGGGGTTCTGAAAAGCCACAGCTTTGTCAATCTTCAGCTGGGACTGAAGGGCAGCGACCTCCCAAGGACGAAATTCTGGTGCGGTGGTGACATTGAGCAGGAACTCCATGAGAACGTCACTGCAGGCGACAGCAGGGGAAGGGAGAGTCATGAGTCAGGAATTTTCAGAGCAACACCTGCCTGTCCCACGAACGGTCACACTCTCACTATTCATCTATAGGTGGCTTTTAAGTCCCCTTAAAACCCGGTGATTTGAGCAGGGGGAAAGTGACCGTCCCAAATCCAATGGTGATACTGCATTAACCTAACCCACAGTGAGACCCAAGCTGATGGGGGCCGAGGCGGCTACTCACACATCGTCCCGCAGACACTCCACCGTGTAAGCCATGCTCTCCCTTGTCGAGGTCACGCTGCAGTGGAGGGAAAGGACAGAGGATCAGCCACAGCAACAGCAACAAGCTCCTCCTGCAGCTCTGCCGAAGTCACCCAGTTCCATCAGAAAGAGGAGTTTTCTTTCCTGCCTCTTGTCCCATTGAGTGCCAGCCGCCACTGGCACAACAGGTGCCAGGGCAAGGATGCAACCAAGGGGTCTTTCTCTCAGCACTAGCTACCAAATCCTGACCCCATGGCCTGGGGGGGACCTGTGAAAGTGCTACAGAAAATATTTTTAAAGTCGGAAAAATGCATAAAAGTTCTCCTTTTTTTTTTAAAAAAAGGGCACATTTACAAATTAAAATATTAGAAAATAATTTTTTTTTTTTGGTTTTGGGGCCAAAGCACAACTTTTAAATGTGCTTTGTCCTTAAGAAATGTCAGTACTGGAGAAATAGTTCAGCATGTAGGGCACTTACCGTGCACAGGACAGACCTGGGTTCAGTCACAGAGTACCAAGCCAGGGCCTCAGTGGATGAGGCCCCAAATCAAAACAGAAAGAGAAACAACCCCACCCTCCGCCTTCAGACTGTTGTCCTCTTCCTATTGTATTTGGTTGGGGGCTGTGCCCAGGGGTGCTCGGGCCTCTCCCAGCTTCTCTTTTAGAGATCTTTTTCAACTGTGCCCAGGGGCCCATGTGGACCAAGAATCTCACTCTAGCTTCTGCGTGCGAAGCTTGTGCTCTGGCCCATAGTGCTCTCTTTAGCTCCTGAAACTCCCCTCTTAAAGTTTCCGCTGCCCTGAGTGCTGACCCCCGCACTGTTGGCAAGAGCCCTTCTATGTTCCATGGTTTTATCTAACCTAGCTGCATCCTGTAGGAGGCGTCATCCAGTATTTGTCGATCCTTAATTGACTGAACAATGTCTCCAAGGTTCATCCATGTGTAACGTGTCAGATTTTCCTAAGGTTAAATTGTCTTTTTTTTTTTTAATTGAAAGTATTTTCTAGGCGCTAGAGCGGTAATAGCTCAGCTAATAGGGCGCTTGTGTTGCACACAGCTAACTCAGCTTCGATCCCTGGAACCCGATATCATTACATCTTAAACAAACCTTAATTTACCACCAACTGCCTCAATTCCACGAGTTATCTTGAAAGACGAAGCTCCTTTTGTTGTCTTAAAAAAAGAAAGAACACTTGTTTTAGTTGCTTTTTAATGCTGACAAACACCACAGGACTTCAAAATGTAATGTTAGATTAGATTCAAAAGCAACTTTCCTTGACCCCAGAGTACAGGGAGAAGAAATGAAATGGAGGTCAGAGGAGAGAGAGATGAGAAGCTACAGGGGCAGGGGACAAGGGGACTCACGCACATCGGTGCTGAGGAATGACAGAGCTAACTAGTCAAACTACAGAGTCAACAGCAGAAATCAGGAGACCCAAACTTCGACAAGCAAGCTTAAAAGGGTGGCGGTGGGGGGCAGGTAGAGAGGGAACCTGGGAATCCTGGTGGAAGGACGCTGACACTGGGGGCGGGATCAGTGCTGGAACGCCGTATTGTCTAAAACCTAACTGTGAATAACTTTGTAAATCATGGTGCTTTACAAAAATGAAAGTTTTGTCTAAAGGAAACTTTCTTTTGCCCCCAAAATTACATTCATGTGTCCTGGGAGCCACCTTTGTGGTATGACGTGGCCACCACAGCCCACAGGCTCAATCTCAGGTTCACTGCTTGGTGATGCTCTGGGTACCAAGGGATCAAACCTGGGGCCTTGCGCAGGCACAGCGTGCTCTCCAGCCCTCTGAGGGATCTCCCTGGCCCAAAAGAAACATTTGCTGGTCACCAATTAAGTGCTTCTCGGTGGTCAATTTCTCCGCCCATCCAACTGCCCCAGCATTTTATGTGGCAACTGAACTGAGTCGAAAACAAACCCTCAAAATCCTGTCTAGCAAGGCCTATAGGACCTTACTTTCATTACAAGTCTCATCACTAATACCTTCAATACTTAAAGATGTTAAGCACTGGAAATTAGGTCCCACCAGCGTGAGCTCTAAATCCAGTGACTGAGAAAGTCCAGTCTGAGGGAACTGTGACTCCAGAGGCGAGACTGCAGTCCTGGAGCTGCAGGCCAGGAACACCGAGGGTTGACGGTGACCAGCAGAAGCTTGGGAGAGGCACAGGAAGACTTTTCTCAGTCTGTGGCATGGATCCGCACAGGCCAGGACTCCCAGGGTAAGTTTCCACTTAGACCACCCCGGCTGCAGTCACAGTATGGGAATAAATTACGGCGCCACATTTCTAAACAAGCTGAGGTAGAAAGACGCTGGCTTACCAAGCTGGAGGCAAGGCGGAGCAAATGAGAGGTCCCTAAAATGTTGGTGTCTTCATAGCGACTGCCGGCTTTAATGAACACGCCAATTCTGGATGTGGGAGCGTAATTTTCCATGGAAGCAATAACGAGGCCATTTGGTAACTTGGTAAACTGTATTTGAGATAAAGCAAAGACGTGGTTACTGTCAGGACATCACCAAGGACAGTAAAGCAGGGCAGTGGGGGTGGGGGGGTGGTGGCGGGGGCCGCTGCGAGCACCTCCGCGGGACTCACCTCGAGATCCTGAGGATGCAGAGCCACTCCTGTCGGCGCAGCCGCAGGCTTCACTTTCGGAGCAACTTTGAGGGAATAAAACCTCTAAAAACAAAAAAGACAGGTCACACACAGTTTCCACAAGCAGAGTGTACACAGTATCAGTGTGCCCGAGAACAGAATTCCATGGAGAATTGGACTCATTAGGACTCAACCCACCACTGGGTTGAGCGGGGCGGGGCGCTACTCCCCAAGTGGTGCTCAGGAGGACAGGGTGGGGATCAGGGCCCTCCTAGCTAGAATGGGCAGAAAGGGTGGCAGTTCCGCGTGAGGATACAGTGCAGGTCAGATCCTCAGTGCCAGGATTACCGGGGGTGGGGGATGGAGTTTGCTGCCAGGGGGACACCCAGCACTGCCCAGGGTCTCCGCATATCAGCCTGCTCCAGGCTCTGTGATGCAAGGATCAAACTCAGGGTCCTGCATCAGGTATGTGCATTAAACCCTGTATTAGTTCTTCGCTCTGTAAACCACTTTTACACCCAGCACTGTTGAGGCAGGGCTCCTCCTGGGTGTGTGTCTCTGTGTAACTGTGTGGTGGGGCAGTCAAACCTTGGACTAAAAGTGCAAAGCTTACATCCTGTCCTCTAACTCTTGTCCTGGTCCCAGCCCTTAAGGCACTCTTTTTTTCCTTCTTTTTTGGGTCACACCCAGCAATGCACAGGGGTTACTCCTGGCTCTGCACTCAGGAATCACTCCTGGCGGTGCTCAGGGAACCATATGGGATGGTGGGAATCGAACCTGGGTTGGCCACATACAAGGCAAATGCCCTACCCGCTGTGCTATGGTTCCAGACCCCTTTGGCCACTCTTAAACCTCAGCTTAATTGTGATTTGTGGAGAGACTGGAAAAGCTGTGAGTTCATGTTCACTTTTTACTATGTAAACAAATACTGCATTTTAATTTACAGTCCAACATTTGCAAAAATGTTTTAATAATACTTTCAATTCTGCCTCAGAATATTTTTTAAAAAGTCCAGGGCTGACACATCCACACCTTTTAGACAGTCTGGCATTTTTCTCCCTAACTACTCAAAGAATCTCAACTTCCATCTCCAAGCAGAAATGCCTTCATCGCCTTAAGCACTTCAGTAACCTTCAAAAAAAGACCAAGCACACCTGGCAGATATCTTTCACATTCCCAGTGTTTCCCGAAGTATCTTCACTCTCTACTATTAAGTCTATATAATCAGGGGTTTTATCTAACCTTTAACCAGTTCAAATGTAAGTTTGCTCGAGATAAGCAATTAACAAGCTTCATACATAGCTGTGTCCCAATATTAAAAAATATATATAGTTACTGAAAGAGTAAAGGGCCCTCTTAGACCTCTGATAAGGGATCAGAAATTCATAACTTTATTTGGGGGAGGAGGGTTGGGGACAAGACGCCACAAAAATTCTTTGTGATTATGCCTACGGTTTTTGAGGTTACTAGCAATGTTGAAGAATTCATAAGACCTTGTATACCCCAGATCTAATGTACACATCATTGGCGTTTCCTGCGGGTCCCATTAGAGACCATGGTGTCCGACACTGAGATCAATCCAGAGGGCCTTCAGCACTACACTAATTTCCTAGGGTCCATTTGCTGCACGTTTACGTAGCCACCTTAAAATGAATTAGCTTTGCTTTAACAAAGGTAATTAATCCTAGGATTCTGGTGTCTGATTTTTCAAAAAGAATTTGAGACATGTAACCAGAGTACAAATCTGCATGATCCATACCCTCCCGGGCCAAGGCAGGTTGAAGTGGTCTCCCAGCCAACGTGCCTCGAGTAACTTTGTTGCTTTTGTGTTTCTACAATGTGTCCCAATCAAAACTCTAACAAAGAATCACCCACTGACTAGTATGTCTTACTGACAAAACATGCACAGTCTTTTGTAAAAATAAGTGCAATGATAATAACTGCCTCCAAATTTACTACAATTTGTCAATACCGGTCCTCTGCAACTCGGTTACTTATTTTTGCGGGTAAGGGGGTTAGTAATTCCAAAACGCGTTCCAGAGGCCTGGCTGCTCCTCGTGGCTATTCTCATCTCTGCAAAGGAGGTGAGGAGGCGGCCAAGGGTGATCAGGGACCCAAGGGTGATCAGGGACTCGTGCGGCGCCAGGCGAGCCCCGTTCACAGCAAGTGGCTTGACGTCTCTCCTACCTCTCCAGCCTGGGCTCCCCACTCCCCTTTTCGGGGGGAAGCTGGGGAATGAATGAATGGAATAAAGGGGGATACGCTGATGTTCTTTTGCCAGACGGAACCGGGCTGCCCTCCAAAGGCTGTTAATGATCGGTCTTCCGCGGACCGCCAGAGACGGCGCTTTGTCCGACTGGGGGCTCAACTGCTTCCATCCTACGCTCAGAAAAACGCTGCTCCCTGGTCCTTCGCCTCTTTCTGGCGGGCAACTAGGTACCAACCCCACATCCCGGCACCGGAGGGGGGCCGGGGGGCGCTCAGCCGCGGGGCGTCGGGATTCAGGCGCTATTCTAGGTTCAGGGGGTCCCTCGCGCGCTGCAGGATGCTTATTTGGCAGCACCCCCCGGCCACTAGCACCAGCCAGCAGGACCCCGCTCCGAGCTGCCCCCCACGACAGTGTCCTCAGAGGCAGCGGGGCCTCCGGGGAGATTCCAAGTGAACGCGATCCCCGCTGGCTGGTCGGGGGCTGGGGCAGGAGGGTCCCCGGCTGGCTCCCCCTCCGGCACCTGCTAGGCCCCCAGAAGTCACGTGACCTCCCAGAGGTCACGGCGGACCCTCGGAGCCCGGCGGGCGCCCCGGCGCGGGGATGACCTTCAGAGGTCCCCACCGGCTCGCGTCCCCTCGGCCCCCTCTCCCTCGGCTCGGCTGCTCGGCGCTGGACCCCCGGCTTCTAGGACTGGCCGGTGTGTGCGTGTGCGCGCGCGCAGGGCTGCTCTCCGGCTCCGACCCTCCCGGTGAAGGACAGACGGAAGCCCGGAGGACCGGGCATCCCAAACCAAGCACCTGCGGCCCGGCCTGGACCGACTCGCTGACCGACGTGCCCCGCCCCCGCCGGCTGTGCTCACCGAGAAAGACCCAGCTCTGGTCAGCAGCTTCATGGCTCCAGATCGTCCTGTGACCCCCTCCCCGGTCACGGCCGGCTTCCAGGAAAGCAAGATGGCGGCGGGCGGAGGCCGATTTCCCAGCGGCCCCCGCGGCACTTGGCCACGCCCCCTCGCCGGGCGGCTTCTCTAGCCGGCTCGCACTCTACTGCTCCCCCGGGGCTGTCGTGGGGAGGGCGGGCCCGGCCGGTCCTTCAGGATGTCGAGAGGGCGGGACGTCAGTGTTCAGGAGCTTCTTAGGTTCCCAGACTAGAAATTCACTCTAGAATCTTTTTTTTTCTTTTTTTCCTGACGGGCTCGGCAGCTCTCCCGCCCGATCGCCCAGCGTCAGCCCTTCGGCGAAGTCGCTTGGAGCCCCCCTCGGGGGGTCCCTCGCCGAGACCTGCGCTGAGCATCATCGGATTGTCCTTGGCCGTTTTACTTGCTGGGCGCTGTGGTCGCCGGAGGATCAGACGCCATCGGGACATGCCTAGATCAGAGCTGTCGCTACACTGACCCCCGGATCGGGGTCGGGACACTTTATAAGTGAGCCCGAAACCCAGGGAGGGCATCTTGCATCTTCGTGGCTCGTGGCCAGCTCCTGGGCTGGCCTGGGAGGAGACCTGGGTGGGAGGTGACCTGGGTGGGAGGTGTGCATGGGCATGTCGGTTGGATCCAGCACGGTAAGAGTCATGTCATGATCCAGACGAAGAATTGTCCCCGTTTCTCGAGGAAGACGAAGAAGGTGCCTTTTGACAGACGGAGCTTAAGGCTTAAAACTTAGTATTAAGGTTTAATATTAAGGGGTGGTCTGTTAAGTTTCATCACTAGGACTTCATCCAAGGTTAGCTTAGGTGGGTCCACTCCCTTCTCTTGTCCCCCGACTCCCATCCAAACATTGAAACTTGTTGGTCTGTTCAAATGCATTAGAATTTAAAACTTGATTTAATCTGCAAAGTGATTCGTTATATCATCTATGCAGTTTATTGTTTTGCAACATTGCAAAAATTTCTATAAAGCATTAAACCACAATAAGTTCTTAGAAAATGTGACTTTACATGAAACCACCTATGAGGGAACCAGGTCTTCCAGTACCCATTTTATTCAAAGTCTGCATGTGCCTATCTCCCTGCTTCAATAAGAAAATGATGAAAGTTTAACGTAATACTGCCACCTTGTGGACAATTCTGCATCATTATACTGGACAAGACTTTTTGCCTATATATCTATATCTATATCTATATCTATATCTATCTATCTATCTATCTATCTATGAGATTTGTATACCACTTTGAATCGCAGTGAGATAAACACTTACAAAGATATAATTGGGATTCAGTTATACAATGTTCCAACACTCAACCCTTCACCATTGATGTCACCAGCTCCTAGTCTGCCTTTATGGCTGACTTTTTTTTTTTATGTAGGAGTACTGCTATTTATTCAGCCACTGATTAGCTGATTGAATTGGGCATGAACTCCACCTTACTTTTTTCCCCATAATTTTATTTATTTTTTCTTCTTATATTTATTTATTGAATCACTGTGGGAAAAGTCACCAAGTTTTCAGGTTTAAGTCTCAGTCATACAGTGATCAAACACCTTTCCCTTCACTAGCACTCATTTTCTACCACCAAGAACCCCAATATACCCCTCTCCCACCCATTCCCAATGCCTGTGAGGCAGATGATTTCCATTTAACTCTTCTCTACATTGATTACATTCATAATTTCGACAAAAGATGCACCATTATTGTTTAGAATTTCCCCCCTAACAATCAGAATTGCTGAAAAGGCATTGTGAAATACTTTGTTTCTATAGTTGGTTATGAGAATCATATAATCTCGCGTGGCCGCAATAGAAGCCTTGTGATTTTGGGTTTCTGCAAAGAGCCAGATAATTATGAGATTGGTTTCTGTGCGTCTGGTGTTATGGCTGTGCCAGAGAGGCACTGGGGAGGGCAACTTGTGACCTCAGTAGGGCGTGAAGGACGAGCCGGTACTGTCCCCCTTCCCATGAGACTGCGGTTTCCTCGTCACCGCCAGCTCATACCTGGCTTTCCTATAATCTCTGAGGCGGCAGCCACCTTGCTGCGGGGGTGGGGGGGAGTAGGGGGAAGGGAGCAAAACCCTTTCCCTCCCGGGGAGGCATGGCACTATGGTTTAACGCATGGTCCATTCACTTTTCTGCCGCAAGCTGCCAGGCTCTGGGTTAAGTCCTTTTGCTCAGGAGCCATCTGGTGAGGCCCCGCGTGTCTTGTCACTGCAGGCCCAAACCTGACTGTCCAGTGTCCTCTGGAGGGTGGTGGTCACCCGGCCGCCAAGGAGAATAGACCAAGGCACGAAACCTATTCCCATCTGGAGTGGCTCAGCGCCAGTAATCTACTGCAGGAACAAGATGCATTTCTGCCAAAAGCCTTTGGGTTCCAAGATTCGTTTCTGAGTCTCTGGGATCATGGCCATTTAGCAGTTCGATCAGGAACCAGAGAGGCCATGCCTCCAAGTATATAGCTGAGCCGGAGGTGGTTTGTGGGTGTGTCTCCCACATACCTAACTTTTGGCGTTTACTTTCTTGGTAAACTTTGCCCCAAGCTTTTGGGGTCTGGCCAAAGGCACAGCAGCAATTTTGGGGCATCTGAAAGCCTGATGGTGACATCAGGCTGCTGATGCACTCGCCTCACAGGTACAGATTGACCTGCTGGTAGCACCATACCCCCTATATGGCTGACTCTTTCTCTCTCTCTCTGAAGAAAGAAAAGGGTTAACTGGAACTTTGTAAAATGCTAGTCAAGATACAAGGCAGGGTGGAGTGATGGGGAGGGAATCTGGAAACACTGGTGGAGGGAAGTTGACACTGGTGGAGGGATTGGTGTTGAAGTACTGTATGCCTAAAATGCAACTACCAGTAACTTTTATATCATGGCTCTTCACTCACAACACCAAAATATTAAAAAAACAAAACAAGGATTAGAACCAAATCTCATAGCAAGTTTATTTGTAAACTATCACTTTCCATTTGATCAATATTAGCAAAAGTCAGGAAGATTTGTTCCATTGTTATCTGACTGACGGAATAATCTTCTAGATTGAATAACACTTTAGCTTCCTCCAAAATACCAAATACCTTTAACAGAAAAACATAGTGTTACCATCACATGATCACCACCCAACACTTTTATCCCACCCAGTCACTGTTAACTCTTGCTATGCTTATGCTTAGTGACAGATTCAGCATCGGAAATTTACAAAGTAGATGTAGAAGAAGATGGAAAAATAGAGAGAAAAGGAGGCAGTTAATTATTCACACTCTCTTGATGTATGTAGAATAATGGAATTCAGTCAATCAATCTACATTACTTATAAATTTTTTCTTTGAAAAGTGTTTTCAAAGTTTCTCTGCTAACATCAGACTCCCATTCCACATACTGAACACCAATGTTCTCATGGCCCTCTGTTAACTTATAATGACAGGCCTCAGGAACCACAATCACCTTTCCCCACTGAATTTTCTTGCTGGAAATGTAGAAGCCAACAAACCCTTCATGCTCTTGGTTTATGACACTACCTACAAAAGGAAAGATTTGACACGTGAGTAACAAGAGAGGGCCCAGTATTTGACAGCTTAATAAAATCATAACAAATTCATATTCTAATTATGTACGAAGAGAGGATGTATACAGGTAATACAAAATAAGACATACTCTCAAAAGAACAGTTTTTTGATATGTGATACTTTGGTAAGTATTTCAATAGGCTTACTTCCACATAAAATGTGGTCCTTTTCTCTACAGTTGGTAAAAATTGTGGAAGGTAGGATAATCGATATACTTTGCCAAACATGATGTATGAATCTAAATATTCTATAGAACTTCGTTTCTAAGCACTGTACTATAATTATGCTCATGAAATATGTGTTATTTTTTTCTTCCAGTTGTGTACGTGTGTGTGAGCATGTATTCTATTTTAGTCCAGGTTATTTCTATCCGTATTCTCTAACTGTGGAGTAAGAATAAGTATAAGTGCACCCTATCAAATAGAGGTTATAATGTGAGCATGCTTATATATGTATTTGCACACATTTATGTGTAGAGAATGGGGTCTTTACTGTTTTTTTTTTATAGCTGGGCAAACTTTATTCTGAAGGAAAAAAATTCATATCTAATCTCTATCTCTATATATGGCATATACACATATATAAAACACAAGTATAAAGACATTCAATGAAGTGAGATATTACAGGTTAAATTATGGTAAGAAAATTGTAACCTCTATTTGATAGGGTACATTTATATTTATTCTTACTCCACAGTTAGAGATTACAGATAGAATTACCCTGGATTAAAATAAAATTATTAATAATAATTATAATAGACAATTCCTTTCAATTCCCTTATTTTTTGTTTTTGGGTCACACCTGGTGATGCTCCTGGTTCTGCACTCGGGAATTACTCCTAGCAGTACTAGGGGGACCATATGGGATGCTGGGGATCGAACCTGGGCTGTATGCAAGGTAAACACCTACCATCTGTTCTATCGTTCCGACCTCTAGGCAATTCCTTTTGTAAAAAGTCAAGATAAACTCCTGCACTTAAGTAAATTTATAAAACAAACAAAACAAACACTGTCCTCCCATTGTTCATCGATTTGCTCGAGCGGGCCCAGTAACATCTCCATTGTGAGACTTCTTGTTTGGCATATTGAATACTCTTGGTAGCTTGTCAGGCTCTCCAAGAGGGGTGGAGGAATCAAACCTGGCTTGGCCAGGCTGGCTGCATGCAAGGCAAACGCCCTACCGCTGTGCTGTCACTCCAGCCTAAATTTATAAGAAGCATTTAAAATTGTGAAATATATCAAATATACAAAAATGCATTGAAAATGATTTTCAGTTTAGTAATTTATAATTAACTTTACAAACTGACATCTAGTACTTCAGAATCACCTGTGTGGATCTCATAATCTAGACGTTTTCACTTTCTCCTGTATGAAGAAAAGTATTGTCTTGAGTTTTATGACAAACATTTCTTTGCTATTCATTTGGAGGGAGGGTTTAGGTCAGTACCCAGTGGTACTGCGTAGGGGCTACTCTGGCTTTGTGCTCGGGATACCATATGGTGCTGGGGATTGAACCAAGGTCACCCTCATGCAAGGCAAGCATCTTTTTTTTCCTTGGTGGTGGGGGTGAGTTTATGGTGATGCTTGAACAAAGCAAGCATCTTAACCCCGATGCTGTTTTTTGGAGGAGGATGGTGCACACTCAGCAGTACTCAGGGGTTACTCCTGGCTTGGCACTCGGAAATTACTCCTCATGGTGCTTGGGGAACCCTATGAGATACTAGGGCTTGAACCCAGGTCGGCGGTGTGCAAGGCAAATAACTGCTGTACTATCTCTCCTGCCCCCTCCTGCTCCCACCCCCATACTAGTTTTCTAGTCCTTTGCTATTCTTTATTACTTTAGTAGAGATCCTAATCACCATAGGTTGTTTTTGCCCTCTCTCTCTCTCTCTCTCTCTCTCTCTCTTTGTCTCTCTCTCTCTCTTCCCCCTCCCTCTCTCTCAGTTTTTTGGGTCACACTTGGCGGTGCTCTGGAGCTATCTTGGCTCTGTATTTGGGAAGCACAGAGTCAAGAACAGCTACTCTATGGCAGTTCTCAGGGGACCATATGTGGTGCTTGGGATCAAACCCAGGTCAGCTGCATGCTAGGCAAGCACCTTTTTCCCTGTACCATCTCTCCCGTGTCTTGCCTTCTTTTCTACTTCATAGGAAAACAATAACATATATGCAATAATAACATTTTCTTCACTCATTGGAGCGATAGCACAGCGGGTAGGGCGTTCGCCTTACAAGCGGCCAACATGGCCGACCCGAGTTCGATTCCTCTGCCCCTCTCGGAGAGCCCGGCAAAGCTACTGAGAGTATTGGATATGCCAGACACAGTAACAACAAAGTCTCCAATGGAGACGTTACTGGGCCCGCTCAAGCAAATCGACGATCAACGGGAGGGCCTTTACTTTTATTTACTTTACTATATATTTAATATTCATCTGCATAGTTTTGTGTGTCACTAGAGTTCATTTTCCTATTTATCCTCTAATAAATGCAAGACAGTCTAGTCCCTTCCCTAATGAATCGGGTTGATTTGTCAACTTGATAGTAACAAATTAGTAGAGAAATAAGGATTTTATGTCTTTTTAGGTTAGCTCATAAGACTAAATTGATTTCTCTAGGATCATTTGATGTAGGAGAAACCTGTGACTGTGATTTGAGGACACTCAAGCAATCCTGTGGAGAGGTCCATGTGGCAAGGAACTGTTAACAACCATTAAGTTATACAGAAAACAAATACCCAGCCTCAGTGATCACAGTCTCAGTGAACAACTCTTATCCAACACTATGACAGACTTGAACCAGACCTCTTTTGACCCATTTCATCCAAGTCATTCATATATATATTTTTTTTACCTTCAGAAACAATAATTTGTATTCATTGTTGTAGATCACAAAGTATTTTGGTCATTTTCTATACATCAAGAGAAAACATGTTGGATTTGAACTTTTACCTACTTCCTGGTTCTTACTTTTATAACTTTTGGGCCATACCTGGAAGTTCTCAGGGACTATTCCTGACTCAGGGTCACTTCATGGGGGTGCCTGGGGGACCGACCATATGCGATACTGTGGATGGAACCCAGGTCTCCTGCATGTGAAGTATGTTCTCCAACCCCCTTGATCTAACTCCCCTGCCTCTACCTCCTGGTTCTTTTGTTTTGGGGACACACTTGGTGATGCTTAGGGCATACTCCTGACTCTGCACTCAGGGACTCTATATACCTGGTGGGCTCAAGGTACCATATGGGGTACTGGGGATTGAACCCCGGTAAACTGTGTACAAAGCAAATCACTCCAGCCCCTATCTCTTCATTCTTTTTTAAATTTAATTTAGCACAGCGGTAGGGCGTTCGCCTTACAAGCGGCCAACATGGCCGACCCGAGTTCGATTCCTCCGCCCCTCTCGGAGAGCCCGGCAAGCTACCGAGAGTATTCGATATGCCAGACACAGTAACAACAAAGTCTCCAATGGAGACGTTACTGGGCCCGCTCGAGCAAATCGACGATCAACGGGAGGGCCTTTACCTTTACCTTTTTATAGTTGTTCACAATAATTTATTACATTAAATATTCAATCCCACCACCATTACACCTTCCCACCATCATTATTTTGAATTTTTCTACCACCACCCAAAGCCTGCGCCCAAAGCAGATTCTAAAGAATTTATTTTTATATTGCTTGTTATGAATAATTCACTAAAAATTACACAAAAAGTTTCCTTGGAGGAAAGCATGTGAAGATTGTTGTATCTCACCCTGGAACCATTAAGCCCTTGTATAAGAGACTACTAAAATATTGTTACAGGTTGAGCCTTTTGTACTAATACTTAAAATTTTTTTTATTGAGATGAGATTGGTATGCCAGACACAGTAACAACAAAGTCTCCAATGGAGACGTTACTGGGCCCGCTCGAGCAAATCGATGATCAACGGGAGGGCCTTTCTACTCTACACTCCATTATATGTGGTGTGCTCCTCTTGGTACATCAGTGGTGCAGAGTAGGAAATATTGCGTGGCTGAAGATGTGACTGCATGGTTCTCTGGTTCTTATACAAGATAATTTCCCTATGAGTGACTCAGGGGGGCAGAAGTTTGAGTCATTAACGTTATCATACTGTGCCAAAAATTCAAATAATTCAAATTCCAACAAACCAAAAATAAGAGATCCTTCTTGAAATCTCTGATTGTTCCAACACTTGGTATGGTTATTTAATTTCAGTCATGAGTACATAGTGATATCTCAATGTGTTAACTAATATCTTACCAGATGAATGATATTGAGCAGATTTTTATGTGCAAGTGCTTTTAAATGATTTATTTTGTTTTTTGGACCACATCTGGCAGTGCTCATGGCTTACTTCTGGTTCTGTGTTCAGGGATCACTCCAATGGGCCCAGGGAGTCATATGGGTGTTGGAACTTGAGTACATGTGGTGCCGAAGTGAGCATGGTTGCTGGAAATTGAATGTGGGTTGGCCATGTGCAAAGCAACACTCTACTCACTGTACCACAGCTTCAGTTCTGTATGTGCTTTTTTTTTTTTTAGCAAGGATATTCAGGAATTTTCATTTAAGGCTATTGCACACGTCAAACAGTTCTGCACTTATTGTCATTTTTGTTTCTTTGTTTTTGATCATACCCAGAAGTGCTCAGGACTTATTCCTGGCTCTGTGCTCTGGGATCCCTCTGTTTAGAATCTCTAAGACTTTCTAATCTTACATGATTCCAAAAATATAATATAAATTCTAAACATCAGTGACTCACAGGATAAAGTTCATTACTGAAGACATGCAGCAGACCAGACATGACAATACAACTGTCACAAGTTAGTTCTACCTCTATTACCTGGGAAAGTTGTCGTAATAAATTCTTTGAACTGCACTAGTTTATTTTCTTTATGAACAGTCTTAATCTTTGCTGTCAGAATATATAAGTTGCAAAACTTTTTCTTGAGATGTTGAGGGCTGCCTACATACTTGAACCTTCCATTCACCATAATGGCCATTTTGGTGCAGAAAGCCTCACATTCTTCCATGCTAGGGGGACAAAACAGCATCCCTCTTATAGGAAAACTGACACATTTCAAAACAGTCAGGATTCTAAGGTACCATTTGCACTAAGGAAGCCACAATGTTTAGAGGATTATTACACACCATATTTGGGAAGAGAATTTAAAATTTAAAAGCAATTCGGCTAATTACTAAATTCACAATAGAAACACCCCCAGCTTCCTACTGTCAGTCAATTATAGATTTCAGAATTCATCTGTGGATTCTTGGCTAACCAAGAATCAACCTCTTCCTCCTAGGTAGCTCATATAGTTAAATAAGTTTTCTGACCTTATAGCACAAGGGCTGGAGCGATAGCATAGCGGTAGGGCATTTGCCTTGTGCGCAGCCAGCCCAGCTGACCCGGGTTTGATTCCTCCACCCCTCTTGGAGATCCCAGCAAGCTACTGAGAGTATTTCGCCCTCAGGGCAAAGCCTGGCAAGCTCTCTATGATGTATTCAATATGCCCAAAACAGTAACAACAAGTCGATTAGTTGAGATGTTACTGGTGCCTGCTCCAGCAAATTGGAGCAAATTGATGAACAACGGGAGGACAGTGTTACAGTGTTATCCCTTATGCCTAGCTTCAGCTAATTTCCTCCTATACTCTTTTGATTCTCAAGCAAGTTTCCCAATGAATCATACCTGTGGGAAGATATAATGATAGCTTTGCCATTTTCACACATCCAAGTGACTGCGTCCTGGAGAAAGTGCATGGTTATTGGGTCCTTGCCACTTGATGGCTCATCCAGGAAAACAACGGACGACTTTCCCATTAAGGCAATGGCAGCATTCAACCTACGTTTGCTTCCATTGCTTCAACACCAAAGGAGAAAGAAAGTGAAAGAGAAAGAGGGTGAGAGTACACATGTCATTAATCCACAGGACAAAACTGGCTCATATATAGATCAATTAAAATTAAAAAATAACTCTATTAAGACACTAAATTTAGTTATGATCAATATTCCAACACCAATCCCACCACCATTGCATCTTCCCACCACCATTATTTCCAATTTTTCCAACCACCCTTGAGCCTGCCCTCATAGCAAGCCCTCAATAATTTACATTGCTTGTTACAAATAGTTTGCTAAAAGGATGATCAAAAACTGTTTCCTTAGAAGAAAGTTAGTGAAGATTATTGTATCTCACCATGGAGCCCTTAAGTCCTTGTATAAGAGATTACTAAAAAATCGTTACTGGTTAAGCCTTCTGTGTTTACATTTTGTTACTTGAGATTGGTTTCCTTCAGCATTACATCTCCTGGTTTATCAGTGTTACAGAGTTTGAGATGCTGTGCGGCCAAAATTGTGGCTGAGCATTCCAGGATGTCCAACATTTCTAACAGGGTGACAACTGGAGTTAAATTTTTAACTGACTGGCGGCTTTGGTGTGTGTGTGTGTGTGTGTGTGTGTGTGTGTGTGACTTCCAAGCTTCTGAAAGTACAGGAAGATGGGGGAAGGTAACCCATCCCTCACCCCGTGAAAACTGGAGATTTCAGTCACAAAACCCTCATACTTGAGTTTTTCAACAAATTAATTTCTGGATGAGGCTCATCCGAGCAGAGGGTGAGCATGGGAGTGCTTGTGAAGTACTGAGTTTTTTGGCTGCCAGGGCCCTGTTTGGGCAGGTGCAAGGACTCATCTGCCCGCCTCTGCGTTATGCCAGGATGGTTCAGCCTTGTGCAGGATTTGGGAGAAACTCTGCCACTTGTAGATCTCTTTTGAGATTTATTTCTGAGTTTCTGGATCATGGTCAGTGAAAGTGCTCACATGGTGCCAAAGGTGTGGTTCATGGGTGCGACTGCCAGGTTTGCAAATTACAGGGAGATGGAGAGAGGTAGGCCACCCCTGATCCCTTGAAAGCTGGAGATTTCAGTCACAAAACCTGTATATCTGAGTTTTCCAACAAGTTAATTTCTGGATGAGGCTCATCTGAGCAGTTGTGTCTGGTTGGGAGCAAAGCAGTGACCGTAGAGTGTGGGGTTAGTTTTGCTGCTGGGACTCAGTTTCGGCGGGTGTGGGGGCTCACCCATCTCCCACTGGGTTGCCTGGGGACGACTCAGCCTTGTGTAGGATGTGGGAGAATTATGCCTCTTGTCAGCACTATCAGCACTGTCCTTCTTTTGTTCATCAATTTGCTTGAGCGGGCCCAGTAACATCTCCATCATGAAACTTGTTGTTACTGTGTTTGGCATATTGAATACATCATGGGTAGCTTGCCAGGCTTTGTTGTGTGGGCAAGATACTCTTGGTACCTTGCTGGGATCTCCGAGAGGGGCGGAGGAATCAAACCCAGCTCGGCCGGGCCAGCTGCGTGCAAAGCAAACACCCTACCGCCGTGCCTCTTGTAGATCTCTTTATATAAATATATGCTTCTCAGAGAAGCTACCGAGAGTATCCTGCCCACACGGGCAGAGCCTGGCAAGCTCCCCATGGCATATTCATGATGCCAAATACGGTAATGACAACAGGTCTCATCCCCCTGACCCTGAAAGAGACTCCAATCATTGGAAAAGACAAGAAGAGGCTGCTAAAATCTCAGGGCTGGGAGGAATAGAGACGTTACTGGTGCCCGCTTGAGTAATTCGAGGATCAAGCGGATGACAGTGGCAGTAATACCGTAGATCTCTTTAGAGATTTATTTCTGAATCTCTGGATCATGGCTGGTGAAAGAACTTAAGTGGCACCAAAGGTGCTCTTTTCACTCTTACATTAAATTCTACATTCATCTTCAAATAGAAGGCTCACCAGAATCTTAAATTTATTTCCACACTTTGAAAGAAAATCTGAATCAATGATGCATGACAATTCCATGAGAACCAACTTCTCCTCCTCTTTTTCCTCCTCCCCTCCTCCTCCTCCTCTTCTTCCTCATCCTTCTCATCTGTTGCCACCACCAGATCAACTAATTTTAATTTAAATACTTTTTTTGTAATTCATTTCAGTATCACTAGTGGTGAAATATTTTTTATTTGAAGAAAACAAGGGATATAGGAATAGGAATGATATCCCTGTATCCTAGGGTTATAAAAATGATAGTGCTCTCTTCTCTTACATTCAGAGGCTATCGCTCATGTCTGTCAAAAGTTAATTTCACATAAGTGGGATGTACCCTATTACTGATATTTGAACTTTCTGTGTGAGAGAGAAATCACATTGAGTTTGCAGGTATTCATTTTTAACATACTTGTGTGTATATATCTATGTGCTTAATAATCAAAACAGTAAAATATCTTACCTGTATGTGGAGACAAAGTTATCGGCCTGGGTTTCTAGGTACACTGAAAATATAAAGGCTTCCACATATTTATGAATTTCAGGTTCAGGAACCCCTCTCAGACTGGCATGCATAGTAAGTAATTCTCGGCCTGTCATATGTTTGATCGTAGGGTTAATTTCAGGACAATAGCCAATTCTTGATGCAACCTGAATCAAGAGGTCAATCACAAGCAACACATCCTTGTCAGCAATATGAAAGATCATACAGTTCACACCAAAGTGATTGCCAACCTAGAACTTTACAGACCAGGCTACTAAGAAAGTTTGAAATTCAGAGAGTTTCCTGTGAAAGATTATTTTCTGGTCCAAAGAATGTTTATAACTGGAACTTAATGTAGTAAAATGGGAGTGCTAACATTCCAAGTTGAAAATTTTAACATAAATTTATTGTGAATTCATATGTGCTAAAGACATTTTTATTACATGAAACTGATATTTGATGTTATTCAAATCTCTTTGGAAAAAGACATAATAATTTAGTTCAATCTTGCTTTCTGTACTCTTTACCTGGTTATTGATTTGCAGTAAGTTGATAATCTATTAGGAACTGCACTGGATTTAGATACAGCACACTGGAGATTATGGTGAAAATGGTGACAGAGATGGTTGTTTCTTTCCCAAAAGAAACTAATAATGAACAAGAGAAACCAACTAATAATCAACAGGAGAAACCAACTAATAGTTAACAAGAAGAAAAGACACTGAGAGATTTTCATAGCTTAGGGTAAGACTAGCTGGAGCGATAGCACAGCTGGTAAAGGCATTGCACACAGCAAACCAGGGTTCGATTCCTCCGCTCCTCTCGGAGAGCCTGGCAAGCTACCGAGAGTATCTCGCCCACATGGCAAAGACTGGCAAGCTCCCCGTGACATTTTCGATATGCAAAAAACAGTAACAACAAGTCTCACAATTTGTTATGGAACATTACTGGTGCCCATGGGAGGACAGTGCTACAGTGCTACACGGTAAGACTGAGCCACCCCGTGTGCTTCAGAGATCAATGCAGAGTACAAAGAAGACAAAGAAGAGTTTAATACTCCACAGGATGATAGGCAGGCATGAGGAGACAGGGAGGTGGGTCCGAGGTGGAAGACAGACAGCAGGGAAGCTGCTTTATTTAGGGTGACCTGGGGAAGGACTGGTGGACGTTGTGTGGAAGTATGTAAACTTGACCCAGGTACAGCTCACAAAGAGGAAGTGAGGGAGTTCCACATAGACCAGGAGGACAACAGAAAAAGCTATTTCTGTCTTGGGGTGGAGGTACACTGACACTCTGACGATGGGTACGGTGTGGTGATTTGAACCACTAAAAGGAATAAAGATTTGTGCACTAGCAAACTAATGTTTCCTTAATAGATTAATATGCATACACATGCGTGTGTATACATATATATACACACACATACAGACATATATGCTACAAATCTCATGCCTTCTCTAACTCATCTTTGCCTCATTCCTTCTCAAGCCCCCACATACGGTTATTCCAAGACCACTCCTGGTGGGGTTTGGAGGACCATACTAGTGCTGGGGATTGAACCTGGGCCAGGATTGAGAGACAAATTGCCCTACCCACTATATTATCCTTTGGTCCCAAGATTTCATCTATTATTATAATGAAGTAGTGTTCCATTGTGTATATATACTACAAACTACTTAAAAATGTTTTGTTATTTTGGTGACATGGTTACAATAGTGTTGATGTTTATGGTATTGGTATACAAAGGTATTATACTTGCATCACCACCCAAGTGCCCCAAACCATCACCACTGTCCGGGCACTTCCCTCCCCATCCTCTACCTGTCCTCACTGGGTAATTTCAGTTTTTTGGCCAAAATCCAAAAGTTTTCTTCATTGGATACTGTTAATTTCCTTGATTATTTATTTATATATTTTGGGTTTTGTTTTGCAATCATTCCTGGCAGGGATCAGTGCTTATTCCCATCTCTGTGCTCAGGCTTCACTCATGCTGTTGCTTGGGGGACCGGCTGTGGTGCTGAGAACTGAAACTAGGTCAGTCATGTGAAAGACAAGCACCTTAACCCTAGTGCTATCTCTCCAGCCCTCCTTTAATTTTTTTTATATACACCATCTGAGTGAGATCATGTAGCACTTGTTCTTTGCCAAATAAGCTGACTTATTTTTTGTATTCTATGACCTCCTAAAATTCCAAGTTCAAGCAAAGGCGAAATTTCATCTCTTCTTACAGATGAGTAATAGTCTATTGTGTATATTTTAACCACTGTAGCTCTGTCCTCCCGTTGTTCCTTGATTTGTCTGAGCGGGCACCAGTAACGTCTCCATTATGAGAATTATTGTTGCTGGTTTTGGCATATCTAATATGCCATGGGGAGTTTGCCAGGTATGGGATACTCTCGGTAGCTTGCTGGGCTCTCCAAGAGGGATGGAGGAATCGAACCTGGGTCAGCCGCGTGCAAGGCAAACACCCTACCTGCGGTGCTATTGCTCTAGCCCATTCTAACCACAATTTATTTATTTATTTTTTGGGGTGGTGGTGCTATGGATTGAACCCAGACATCACTGTCGTATTGAGCTACATCCTCAGTCCTGTAATTCATTTATTTGTTTACCAATTTGTAGTTTATCTGTGATCTCTGTTCTCACATGTTGGAATGCTAGCGCCCTCAGGACAGGCAATTTCTTTCTCTTTTGACCTAAGCAGCCCAATCTGTATCTATCTGGTCCTTGGAAGTGTTGGGTAATTCCGGGTCCATGAAAGAGTGTTCTTTTCCTTTTATTTGTTTTATGGGCAGCACCCAGTGCTCAGGGCTCACTTCTGGTTCTGTGCTTAGGGATTACTCCTGATGGGCTCTGGGGGGTGGGGTGGGTGTGTCACATGGGATGTGATGGATCAAACCCCAATTAGGTGGGTTCAAGGCAAGGTGTACATTGATTTGGTCCTACCCGAGCCGTCTACTTTTTCTAAACCCCATTTTATATTAAACTTCAATAATGTTCTCACAGGTTAAAATTGTTCTTCCTGTTTCTACTTTGATATATACTTTGTTTTAGCCTGAACGAATAGTTTCCTTTACCAAACTTAATGTTAGCATTATAACTGCTGTCCATAGAGTTTCTTACTTGTGAAAAATGAATATGCACACTAATGGTTCAAGCTTTTAACCTTTTTCCCAAACCTACTTGCTTATTGCCTCCTCCCTTAGGCCACCACATCTGTGAATAGGCAAGGAATACCTTTGTGGTATTTTTAGTGATATTAATGCCATCAATTAGTACCACTCCAGAGGTTGTGATTTCCTCTCCTGTAATCATTTTGAATATAGTGCTTTTTCCAGCTCCGTCTATTCCAAGTAATCCAAAACACTCTGACTTTTGCACTACAAGGGAAATGTTTTTCACAGCTTTCACAACTGGACACTTATAATAAATCTGAGGGAAAAAAACCCACAATGTATTAAAGCATTGATTATGGGTCATCCATAACACAAACCCCTGTGGATGAGTAATTGTGAGCAGTTTTACAAAAGTTCTGCAGTAGCCCTCTATTTTACCAGAACACACACACACACACACACACACACACACACACACACACACAGAGGGACTTAGTAATATAGCAAGTCCTTGAATAAAATCTTTACAGTCAGTATAATTTTGTTATAACACTGATGAGAAAAAAAAATTACTGGCCAATTGGCCAATGTGGGACAAAAGCTCAAGCACATTATTCTAGAATCTGTTTTAGCAAAACATCCTTTTACTTCAAGTTTCAACATCGAAGAACTTTAGGTCACTTAGTGTGACTTAAAATAAGTACTTAATACTTAATGAATACTTAAAATTTCTTGGCAGAAACAGTGGGGAAAAGTTCATGGCAATTTTGGTTGTGAAATGCCTTTTTACCTTTGTAACATCTTTAAGAACCAGTGGGGCAGTGTTCAGTTGAGGAGACTGTGTTTCATTACTTTCTTTTTCTTTTACATCTTTATCTTCTTCGTGTTCGTTTAATTGTTCATGGCTCATGGAAGTATCCTGCTGGGAATCCTATATTTGTAAAACAAAAATTATAGATGTGAATATATTTTAAGATACCTTGTTTATGGGCTGGGGCGATAGCACAGCGGTAGGGCGTTTGCCTTGCACGTGTCCGACCCAACCGACCCAGGTTCAATTCCTCCGCCCCTCTTGGAGAGCCTGGCAAGCTACCGAGAGGATCTCGCCCGCACGGCAGAGCCTGGCAAGCTACCCATGACGTATTCAATATGCCAAACACAGTAACAACAAGTCTCATGATGGAAACGTTACTGGGCCTGCTTGAGCAAATCGATGAACCTTGTTTATATTGAGTGGTTTTTGGAAATCTGACTTAAGAGCGTTGTCTCAGAAACATCTAAAAAGGCCTGAGTAATTTCAAAGAGGCTTCTTATTAACTTCCTGAATTCTTCTTCTTCTTCTTCTTCTTCTTCTTCTTCTTCTTCTTCTTCTTCTTCTTCTTCTTCTTCTTCTTCTTCTTCTTCTTCTTCTACTACTACTTTTTGCTTTTGGCTCACACGTGGCGTTGCACGGGGATTCCTTCTGGCTTTCCACTCAGGAATCACTCCTGCGGTGCTCCAGGGACCATATGGGATGCTGGGAATTGAATCCAGGTCGACCTCGTGCAAGACAAATGCCCTACCCACTGTGCTGTTATTCCAGCCCCGGCCCTATAAATATTTTAGGGGTGCAATGTTAACACTCTAAACACTTTATTTACTTTTTATGTCTTGAGCCAGATGTCTTCTAATTAGAGTAGTAAAATCTACGTGGCCTTTGGTGTGAAAACAAGCAAGACAGAACTTTCACGGGTTATGTAGTTCAATGCACTAACTAGTAACATATAAAGGGCAACTACAATCTTATCATATAAGCTAAACTAAAACTGTGTAAATGATATATTCGTTATGATACTAATAATTAGTTATTATACTAATTTCAGGTGGTAGCAGAAACATTAAGAACCTCAAGATACACTCCTTTCTACAACAGTAGAGAGTTACAGGCTTAGAGAACTTATGACCAAAATCTGGGACTAACCAAGAATAGCAGAAATGGAATGAAGAAATGTTACAAAGAGATATGTAGGTAGTAGTTTTCTGCCTCAAGAAATTTTTGCTTCAAGGGACAGGTCAGTACCCAATTTAATTAGTAAATTAATAAACAATTAAAGAATTTTTTATTCTAGGAAAAACTCTGAGATATATAAAATTATTAAAACTATGTAAAGCAATAATTAATAAGTTGACTTATAGAGACAGTAATCCCTACAATCCTGTTTTTTGTTTTTTTTTTAATTTTTGGGTCATACCCAGTCACGCACAGGGGTTACTCCTGGCTCTACACTCAGGAATTACTCCTGGCGGTGCTCAGGGGGATCATATGGGATGCTGGGAATTGAACCCGGGTCGGCCACGTGCAAGGCAAACACCCTCCCTGCTGTGCCATTGCTCTAGCCCCCTTACCTGATTTTAAAGAAGTCAATTTCGTAATTACAACCAAGTATATCTCATATTCAAGGCCATGCTTTCTATTCCTAGGGACTCCATCACAAATGGATTATTATTTGATTAGCAGAGGATTTAAGCCTGAAAGCCCAACCCAAATTTAGATGGAAAATTTATGATTTACATTAGTTTCAATTATATCCTGGTATAATTCAGTGGTACTTTTCTTTTTTTTTCCCCTTTATTTTATTTTATTTTTTTTACAGTTGTAAATTTATAATTTTTTGTGCTTTGGTTTCAATTATACAATGATCAGATACCCATCCCTCCACCAGTGCCCATTTTCCACCACCATGGATAATATCCCTCCCACCCCCATCCCCCCATCCCCCCTGTCTCTGTGGCAGGGCAATCCCCTGTGTTCTCTCTCTCCTTTTGGGTGTTGTGGTCTGCAAAAGAGGCATTGAGTGGCAAACATGTTCAGTCCATAGTCTACTTTCGACATGCATCTCCCATCCTGGGAGGATCCTCCAAGCATCCTTCATTTGGTGCTCCCTTCTCTATCTGAACTGCCCTTTCCTCTAGGATACCCGGCTGGCCTCTAAGTTATGGAGTAATCCTCCTGGTGCTGATCTCAGCTATTCTTGGGTATTAATCTCATACTTTGTTACTTTATATCCCCCAGATGAATGCAATCTTTCTATGTCTATCCCTCTCTTTCTGACTCATTTCGCTTAGCATGATACTTTCCATATTGTACCTCAGTGGTACTTTTCTTACAAAGTAACAGAAGTAGGAATATAAGTTCTTAATTCTGGCCTAATGTTGAGCTCTCACTGCAAATAGTGAGCTGCATTTGAAGTTATGTACTCACACTGTTGTCTTCAAAAAATCTGATATAGATCTTATGTATTATTCTATGAAATACAAAGTTCTTCAGATTCCATACTGTAGTCTCCAGACATAAAAGCAAAGTGATGTAAAAACATCCCGCAAAAGCCAATGCAGTCAAAAAATATGCAATTCCATTTTCTTCAAAACTGTAGATATTGTTCTCTACCCCTGAGGATGATTAAAAAAAAAGATAACCTTACTCTATAAACTGATATAGTCTGAGATAAAAGTCAAGATTATCACAAGTAATAAGAATGTGGCAAATAATATTTCATTTATTTATTTAATTTTATTAATAAAAATCATTCTTTTTCTTTCTTTTTTTGGTGACACCCACTGGTGCTCAAGATATACTCCTAACTCTGTGTTCAGGGCACCATATGGGGTGCCAGGGATTGAGCCTAGGTTGGTGTTGTGCAAGGCAAGAACCTGACCCATTGAACTATGGCTTGGGATCTTTAATTTTATTTTATCTGTACCTACAGTTAGTATAAAAGTTACCCTGTAATTAATATTTCTCTTTCTTTAACCAGTTTTGATTGGAGATGATCTTATAGTATACCTAAAGAAATTCAAAGTCTGATTTGTATAAATAGAATAGTAAAGGTAGAAAAATTAAAGACATTCATGAGATTAAGGCATTGCTGTAGGCTATACAGAATTATCTTTAAAGTTTTTCAGAGTGAGAAAAAACTGCGACTAAGAAAAGAATTTAAATAGAAAAAGAATATTAATGATAATATTCATAGGTGGAAAACATATGTTTATATATCTAACATACAATGTTGGTGGTAATGTCATTTGTTTTAGCTTCTATGAAAAACATATGGAGGTTTCTCAAAATGGTAAGAATAGACCTTCCATATGACTTCGTGATTCTGCTCTGCAACCTAAACTTAACAGACTTTTTTATATAAAAGACAAAAACCACTATCCATATAAATACTGATAGAGATTTTTTAAGAGTATAAGGCATTTATAGACTAAAAAGACCAAATTATGACTCTATTTTGGTTAGTTGGGGAGTAATTACTTAACCCTGTCAAACAACAAACAAACATTGTCCTTCTGTTGTTCATCGATTTGCTCAAGTGGGCCCATAACATCTCCATTTTTGAGACTTGTTGTTACAGTGTTTGGCATATTGGATAGGTCACGGGCAGTTTGCCAGGATTTGCTGCAGGCGAGATACTCTCGTTAGCTTGCCGGGCCCTCTGAGAGGGGCGGAGGAATCGAACCCGGCTCAGCCAGGCTGGCTGTGCGCAAGGCAAACACCCTTCCGCTGTGCTATCGCTCCAAAACATTACTTAACCCTAGAAATTATAATTTCACATTGCTCTGATATAGTGACATACAATTACATTTCTCTTTCTGAGGTTGCATATAAATGGCTTGGTTCTAGAAGAGATTATGAATACAGTAGAAATATACTTTCTTTTATGAACCTTTGAATCAATCTAAAAATATGAAATCAGCCAAAATAAGGAAGGTGGAATAGACTACCTTATTTCCCCTGACTTTGATTTGACTGTGAATTATCCTTTCTCTTTATCTGTATCATACTTAAAGCTTAACTTTTACTTTTATTTATTTTATTTAATTTTTTTTTCCTTTTTGGGTCACACCTGGCGATGCACAGGGATTACTCCTGGTTCTGCACTCAGGAATTACCCCTGGCAGTGCTCAGGGGACCATATGGGATGCTGGGAATCAAACCCGGGTCGGCTGCATGCAAGGCAAACGCCCTACCCCCTGTGCTGTTGTTTCAGCCACTATTTAAAATTTTTTAAAAAATTTTTTATTTATGTATTTATTTTGCTTTTTTGGGTCACACCTGGAGATGCACAGGGGTTTCTCCTGGCTCTTCACTCAGGAATTACTCCTGGCGGTGCTCGGGGGACCATACGGGATGCTGGGAATCAAACCCTGGTTGGCCACGTGCAAAGCAAACCCCCCTACCCACTGTGCTATCGCTCCATCCCCCCAATTTTTATTATTTTTTAAATGAATCACCATAAAGTACAGTTACGGACTTATAAACTTTCATGATTATGTTTCAGTCATACAATGATTGAGTAACCATCCCTCCACCAGTGCCCATTCTTCACCACCAATGTTCCCAGTATCCCTTCCACCACTCCCCCAACCCCCCCCCCCCCCCCCCCCACACACACACACCTCTGTGGCAGGCAGATTCCCTTTTAGTCTCTCTCTCCTTTAGGGTGTTGTGGTCTGTGATGCAGGTATTAAGTGCCATCGTGTTCAGTCTATAGTCTACTTTCGGTACACATCTCCCATCCTGAGTGGGTCCTTCAAGCATCCTTTACTTGGTGGTTCCTTCTGTGTCTGAGCTGTCTTTTCCCCCAGCATGTGAGGACGGCTTACAAGCCATGGAGCAATCCCCCTGGTCCTTATTTCTACTATTCTTGGGTGTTAGTCTCTCATTTTGTTACTTTATATACCACAAATGAGTGCAGTCTTCCTATGTCTGTCCCTCTCTTTCTGACTCATTTCACTCAGCATGATACTCTCCATGTTAATCCACTTATATGCAAATTTCATGACTTATCTTTTCTAACAGTTACATAGTATTCCATTGTGTAGATGTACCAAAGTTTCTTTAGCCAGTTATCTGTTCTCGGGTACTTTGGTTTTTTCCAGATTCTGGCTATCTAAACAGTTTAGCATTTATTTTTAAATAAGCTCAATATACTCAACTATAAAATCAGGATTATAGCAGCTAACTTGCCGGTGCTTTGAACAACCAACATAATATGTGCAAAGCCTCTTCCACCTAGTAGATGACTTGGAACTGATTCTAGATCTGGTAGTGACTTAATGAATTTAATCTTGAGGCTTTATTTCCCACCCTGGCCCCAGTCTGTGAAATAATGTTTGGCATAGAATAATTAAATAGCAAACCTGACTATTTCCAGTTAGAGAGTGAACAGGGTGCTCCTAGCTCCCACAATCTAGGCTTAAATACGGAAATCTGGAAAGGAAGTATGTTGTTTTCAAGAAACTTGGGTGCTTCAGATACTCACTTTCTTTAGTGCAGTTTAGATGGACATTTGGATATTTCCTAGAACACATTTTTTTAATTTCATAATCATCAAACACTTTGCTGAGACTCATAACAAAGTTGTAACTTGGAAGTAGCATTAATGCAGTTTTTATAAAATATTTTTTAACAAAGTCAATACCTGTTATTAAAAAATAAAATCAATGATAAAAAGGTAATAAATCTCCCATAAATATTTCCCTTAAGTTAGTTAAACCACTCATAGACAATTACTAACTAGCAGATGATACTTGGGAATGACAAAATTATCAAGTTTATTTGCTTTGACAGCTTTTAGCATAGAACTTTAGAGTTCTAAAGACTCATACACACAGTATTTCCTTAGAATGTGTCTTCTTTCTAGAATGACTGTACTCATTTGTGGAATATAAAGTAACAGAATGGGAGAATAACACCCAAGGATAATAGAGATAAGGGCCAGGAGGATCACTCCATGCCTTGGAAGCCGGCCTCACACGCTGGGGGAAAAGGCAGCTGGGATGAGAAGGAACCACTAAGTGAATGATAGTGGGAGGTCTCACTCGGGATGGGAGATGCATGCTGAAAGTAGACTACGGACCAAACATGATGACCACTTTCTACCTGTATTGCAAACCATGACATCCAAAAGGAGAGAGAGAGTAAAAGGAAATGCGCCTGCCACAGAGGCAGGGAGGGGGGATATGGGGAGATGGAAGGGATACTGGGGAACATTGGTGGTGGAGAATGGGCACTGGTGGAGAGATGGGTACTTGTTCATTGTATGACTGAAACGTAATCACGAAAGTTTGTAAGTATGTAACTGTATCTCATGGTGATTCATTAAAATATATAAAAAATTTAAAAAAAAGAAAAAAGAAGCAATAAAAAATGCAAAGAAAAGTAAAAAGAGAGAAAAAAGTGTCTTCCTCCCCCTACTTTTTTTTTTTTTTGGACAACACCAGCTCAGTGATCATTGATTGCTTCTGGGGTCCATGCAGTATCAGGGGCTGGATGTGGGGCTCCCTCATGGAAAGTATGTGCTCCAGCCCTGCACCTTCCTCCTTCTTTTGGTGTGGGCTTGCTATTAAAATCTGCATCTTGGCTTGGTCCCAAATTTTTCTACTCTATTTCCCATGCAGTACTACAAAATGGAAAAATCGAGAGGTTCTAGATTTCACTTGTTGGCCTCTACATTTAAAAATTTATTGTTAAATCAATGTTATATAAAAACTTTAAACAACTTTTTCACAGATCAACTTTTTAATTTAAAAACAACTTTTTAATTTAAAAAATATAGTAAAGTGTAAAGCATTCATGTCTTCTATCCTCTGGACATTGGGGTATCCTTCGACTTTCTCTTGTTAAATCCAACAGGTTGTGTCATATTTCTTCTATTTGTCCCTTCAAATCAGTACTGTCCTCTTTTAACATTATAGTTTTTGCTCTGGGAGAACTATTCTTTTTACAGAATAATATAAAGGCCTTCTTTGTTTTCTGACTTGGTTGATCTAGGTCTCTGATATGTTTTTCCTGTAGATGAGGTTTCACTAATATGCTCAATTTTGGAGGGGGGGGGGTCTCCCAAGCAGTTAGGGGTGGGGGGTGGAGTTCCTTCTGGCCATTCTCCACCAATCTGGCCGTCAGCCCAAAGCGAGAGCTCAAGCATGTGTTTTGCTCTGATCTTGGAGTGTTGAGAATTACCTGGGGCTAACACAAGAACCTCCCCGGTCACACCTGGCAGTGAATAGGAGCCTCCAGTGGTAGGGCTCAATTTATAAAAATTTATCAAGTTATTCACTTTTTGTGGTTTCTTTTTGTGTGTTTTTGGGCCACATCCAACGGTGCTCAGGACTAATGGGCAGTACTCGGAGGACCATATGGGATGCTGGGAATCGAATCCAGGTTGGCCACGTGCAAGGCAAACGCCCTATCCACTGTGCTATCGCTCCAGCCCAACCTCAAAGTCTTTACTCTTCATTTTCATTTATTTATCTATTGCTTGGAGGAAAGGAAACTTGTTTGAAGTTCTTACCAGAGCGATGTGCAATGGAGTAAACCATTACAGTATAAACGTGGGAAAAGTAGTTAAAGAGGGTGAGCTTGACGTAGGCAGTAGTACTACTAGAAAAGAGAAAGCTTCCAACATACATGAGAGGAACAACGGACCAGCCATACAGCAGAAAGATAATCATTGTTTGCAAAAATCGGAAATTTTCAACAAATGCTTCCACTCCGCAGCATTTGAACACTCCCTGAGACAAAGAACACAGAGAAAGGGCAAGGTGAAGGTGGTGTGAAATAAGTCAGAACATTCAGAAAACAGCAAGCCTTGTCTTTACCAGAGTACAGAATTCGTATGTCAAAGAGTTACTTACATTGCTATTTTTTCTTTTTTATCTTTGCTTTTTGGGTCACACCTGCTCAGGGATTACTCTTGGCAGTGCATGGGGGACACTATGAAATGCCTGGGATCAAATCTGCTGTACTATTGCCCCAGCCCCTGCTCATATTTAAGTTCCTAGTATCTTCTATTCAGAAAAGAACTTTACCTTCTTTACTCATACAACCATATAAAATCCCTGTTTACCCCATTGTATCTTTATATCTCCCTAACCCTCAATATGTACACAACATTAAAGAATTTGCCAAGTTCAGGGCTGCAGATAGGACGTTTGCCTTGCATGCGGCCTACCCAGGTTTGATCCCCGGCATCCCATATAGTCCCTTGAGCACCGCCAGGACTAATTTCTGAGCACAGAGTCAGGAGTAACCCCTGAGCATCGCTGGGTATCACGCAAAAAGTAAAAAAAAAATTGCCAAGTTCATTAATGAGTAAAATCATTACAATGAAATGTTCCATATCATTGTATACAGTCTCACTCTGAAGTACTTTTTTAATATTTAAGTTGGGTTTTTCAGGGGAAGCCTCATTAGGCCGTGATTCTAAACTGTGCTACGGTTCAATTTGATAAAAGATCAGCTTTGGGTGGGGCTTATCAAGGCATAAGTGACAAGTGGTGTTACTCCCTCAAGTGATTTTTGGACGAGGGTGTAATATTGAGAAATTATGTAGGAAGTCAACTTAAAAGACACTTTTAAAAAAGAAACATTTTCTCCAACTGAAATAATATAAGGGAGAACAATTGTATACTGATATTCACACAGTAAGCTACCTGGCATAATAAGTTCAATGGAACTTCAAAATTTCCTTACAAGTATTATTTTAGGATATAATTAAATAAAAATTCCCTTTGGGCAACATAGAAAACGAACCACGGGGCAACCCCAGATAATACTCACCAGTAGCAAGCAGCAATGAATGGAGTAGTAGATGAGATCCCACAGCAAAGCAGAGAACCAGTAAATAAACACATGGACCCCACTGATAAACTGGATATGCTTTGCCTTAGATGTTCTCTCAGTCACTGTCTGTAGGCAAAAGCCACTGATCACAATAGCCATGCCGAAAGCCAAACACAACACCACTCGTATTCCATCTACAGACCTACAGAAGATGAAATAAAAAAGATTAAATAATGGGATAAGCACAGAAAATAGTTTTAGTAGCTACAACTATTTTCAAATGTATATAGCAAGAAAGTAAAATGAAATATCAACACCCAATTCAAGTAGCACTGTAGCACTGTCCTCCTGTTATTCATTGATTTGCTCGAGTGGGCACCAGTAACGTCTCCATTGTAAGACTTATTGTTACTGTTTTTGGCTATCGAATATGCCACGGGGAGCTTGCCAGGCTCTGCTGTGTGGGTGGGATACTCGGTAGCTTGCTGGGCTCTCTGAGAGGGACAAAGGAATCGAACTCTGGTTGGCTACATGCAAGGCAAACGCCCTACCCCCTGTGCTATTGCTCCAGCCCCCCAATTCAAGTAAAAGAAAAGAACATACATACATTTTGTGAGTAGTATAATCAAGAGGCTGAGGCTTATTAAAAACTTGAATGGAAGCACTGGGACCAGAAAGTGACATAAAAAGAATGTTGTCTAACACTGCCACGGATATTGCAGCTGAATGGTATGCCTCATTATTGAATAAAATAGTTAATACTGTTCTGTTTTGCTCAGCCTTAATGGAAAATGCGATAATGGAGAAAGCATGACATGCTTTAGTTTCCACTATATACTTAGTTATATTACCTAGAATAAAGAAAGACTGGTCAGTGAAGCAACATATTATGATTACCTACTCCTTAGAAGTAAAAGACCCTAAATTTCCTATTATCTGTCCCTAACTTCCTGGAATGACTTACTCTTCATTTTCTCAAAAGTTTTATGGCAGGGGGTATGGTGCCACCAGCAGGCTAATCTGTACCTGTGAGGCGAGTGCATCAGCAGCCTGATGGCGCCTTCAGACTTCCAGATACCCCAAAATTGCTGCTGTGCCTTTGGCCAGACCCCAATAGCTTGGCACAAAGTCTACCAAGAAAGTAAATGGCCAAAAATTAGGTATGTGGGAGACACACCCACAAACCACCTCCGGCTCAGTTATATAATTGGAGGCATGGCCTCTCTGGCTCCTGATCGAATTGCTTAACGGTCATACTCCCAGAGAATCAGAAACAAATCTCAAAACCCAGCGGCTTTTGGCAGAAATGCGTCCTGTCCCTGCAGTAGGTTACTGGTGCCGGACCACCCGAGGTGGGACTAGGTTTCTTGCCTTGGCCTGTTCCCCCTGGCGGCCTAGTGGCCATCATCCTCCAGAGGCCATTGGGCAGTCAGGTTTGGGCCCTCAGTGACAAGACATGTGGGGCCTCATGGGATGGGGGTGGAGTCGGCCCTTTCCTCCCCACCCCAATGAGACCTGATTCGCCACCCATGAACGACCTTTCTGGCTCCTGATCAAGCTGCTTAACGGCCATGATCCCAGAGACTTAGGAACAAATCTCGAAACCCAGCAGGTTTTGGCAGAAATCCCTCCAGATTTAAGTGTTAAAATTTTGGAATTTCAAAATCACGTGGCCACTACTGCAGCCATGCAACTTCATATGTTATTCTTAACCAGCAATAGAAAACAAATTGTCTACTGTTGACTTTTCAGCAGATCTGAGTGTTGGGGTAAAATCCCAAATAATAATGGTGGGACTGGTGTCAAAATATTGAGTGTAATCAAAGTAGAGAGAGAGTAATGTGGAAATTGTCTACCCCACAGGTGGGGGAGGGTGCGGGAATGGGGGTCTACTGGGGTTTTTGGTGGTGGAGAATGGGCACTGGTGAAGGTACAGATGTTTCATTGTATGATTGAGATTTAAACCCGAAAGCTTTGTAACTGCCCTTACTTTGATTCAATAAATAAAATTATAAAAAATGAAAAAAAAGTAAGGTGGAGTTCATGCCCAATTCAATCAGCTAATCAGTGGCTGAATAAATAGCAGTACTCCTACATAAAAAAAAATTCTATGGCATTACTAATCACTAAAGTAAGATCATAATATATCCTACAATTAACCCCCCCCAATAAATTAAGAATTTCTTCTTCCTTCCATAAATTGGATAATCTTTATTGAGATACCTTCAATTAGCTTATTCATTTATATTCAAATAAAATTATTTTGGGTAAAATTTTCATTTAATTGTGCTTTCCAAATACAGAATTTCAACTTCTTTTTAAAAATATTATTTAAGAATGCTGTCTTTTTGGATATAGTTACTATACTTTCTTTAATTATTTACACATTTTTATGAGTGCTTTTCTTATACTTCTAATAGCCAGTGTAAAGTCTTTTGTCTAAACCCTTGGTTTTGGATTATTAAACATCACTACTAGAGAGACAATAGCAGGAGTTAAGGAGCTTCCCTACCTGGGGTCAACCCAGTTTGATCTTCAACCCCACATTTCATCCCTTGAGCACTGCCCAAGGTGATCTCTGAGCACAGAACCAGGAGTAAGCTCTGAGCATTGCTGAGTATATGCCTCTAAACAAACAAACAAACCAACAAACAAACAAGAACACCCCCCTCCCTAAATGGATTATCAAGCAGTGGTGGGATTTTTAGGGAGAATGAATATTGGACCAGAGGTGACATAGAGTCAGGGGTGGTGGTGGGTAGTCACGTGCACTTTGGTGGTGGTGCAGAGACTTTGTACATTAATATTATAAATACTAACACGATTATAGTCTTATCACCTATACTATAATAAAAATTTAAAAAAATTGTTTACTAAATTCAACATTTGTTATCTCTCCAGGACATTTTCTGTTGGGTGTTCCCCCCTGTGTATGGATCACATTGCTTCTTCTCTCTCTTATTTTTTCTGAGACTGTAATAACAAAGTATCAGGAACTGAATGGTTTATACAGAAATTTTCTTACAGAGGTCTAAGGTTAAGGAACTGGCATTGTTCATTTCTTTCTGATGGCCTTTTGCTTGACTTGCAGATGGTTGTCTTATCCCTGTGATTCACACAGTCTTTTTGAATTCCCTTGTATCTGTGTTCTAGCATCCTTTTCTTATATAATAACCTTTTTTTTACACCAGCCCTATTGGATCAGGGTCTACCTAACTGACTTTGCTTTAATTTCCTTCTTTGAGAAATATATATGCAAATACAATCAAATTCTGCGGTACTGAGAGTTAGCAAGTCAACGTATGAATTTTACAGGGACACAATTCAGCTTTCACTGCCCTTTCTGTTGTTACTATTGAAACTGTGATTTTATATATACAATGGGCTAGACTGCTTAGCTGTAAGAAAAGATTAAACTGCAGTTGGCTGCAGCTTGTATCGAACTGGAGGGTATCATGCTGAGTAAAGTGAAATCAAAAAGAGGACAGATTGGAATAGGGAGGGGATCATTGAGTCAATTATGTTTGGAGGAATCATTCAGGATGGGAGAAGTGTGCTGAAAATAGATAAAGGACCAAACGTGATAGCTTCTCAATATCTATATTGCAAAATCATAATGCCCAAAAGTAGAAAGAGAGAGTATGGGAGAAATTGTCTGCCATAGAGGCAGGGGGAGGGTTGGAGTGGGGTGGGGATACTGGGCACATTGGTAGTGGAGAATGTGCACTGGTGGAGGGATGGATATTCAATCATTGTATGACTGAATCTCAAACATGAAAGTTTTGTAACTGTATCCCATGGTGATTCAGTGAAAAAAAAAGAGAGGACAGATTACTGAATAACTTCATGCCTATGTGGAGTATACAGTAATATAGTGATGGAATAAACAATAGCTAATTATAACATACTTAGAGAGTTTGCCTATAGAATTCCGTTTACTAAGGCGAGGTGGCAAGGTGACACTAGGAATCATAGTAGATGACACTCTGGTGGTAGTTGGGATGTAGTGACACTGCAGTCCCCAAATGTTTCTAGTAACATCATCAGAAATCAACTTGCCTTGATTTGACAAAACGTTCTAAAGGAATCCATCTATCAAGCCTTCTGCCACCTGTTCTTCAAGTGGTCAGTACAGTAACGGGCAACTTCAGCTCTTGGAACAAACACCACACCTTGGGAGAGCTAAGAGAAACACTTTTGCACAAATCTTATTTTAAAATTTGCACTAATATGCTGTTTTAACTCATTACCTGTCTTCTGAAAGATTGAGGACATTTTGGTTTCTGATCTCTCTGCTTTTAAGATACTAGTTACTAATTAGGCGGAAGGGAAGATTGTGAATGGAAAGCCAAATGCTAATTTAAACTCCTAATTTACAAGTGACTAAGTTCTTCCTCTAACAGCACTCTGTGTTTGCTATGGGTCTTACCTTTAACTTCCAAAATTTTTTGATTCTTGGACTTTAGAAAAATCTGAAGGTTCTTTATGAGATTCAGAGTTAAATCAGAATTCCCTGAAACTGAGTATGGCACAGTAGTTTGACCGTATTGACTCAAATCCAGTTCTCTGCTAGGCATGTCATAGTTTATGCCTACAGTCAATATGAGATAGGTAGTGACAGTCAAATTTACTATTATCTGTAGCAACACCATCTTCCAGCTCCGCCAACTGAATAGTGCTCTCTTTATAAACATGGAACAGAACTGCTGGCGGTAAAGTGAAAACTATGAAGAGGAGATAAACAGCATTATAATGTCTGCTCACTCTGATAGATGGTTCATATTTTATAGCAGAAGATAGATGTACACAATACAAATACATCCGTGAATCAAAGTCAAGAAAATAAGATGGTTTCATTTTATATAGTGTTAAGAAAAAAGAATTCAGATCTGATTTCTAAAGCAACTACATTAGAGTTCATAAAAATTATTATATTCATCAAGATATGCAGTATTCTCATGCTAAAATTACTATAAATATTTTATTCAACATTAAACCACAATCTATTTTTTTATTTTAAAGTAAAGTATTCCTATAAAGCAAATATAACTGTTACCCTTTACCAGATTTCATACACATACTCTGGCTCATAGTGAGAAAATGTTTCTCATATGATGAATCAATATCTTCTAACTTAGGTATTATCTTAGAACTAAACAAAGTAAAAATTTAGGAGAACATGGATGAAAACTTTAATACAGTATTTCAGAGAAACAACAATGGTGAGAGAAGCAGTTGCAATCTGTATTTAGAACTTGTTTCTTGTGCTTCAAGAAATTTAAGGAGGTTGCATTTCAGACTGTTTCATCACTGGCATTCTTATATGGCTGAAGTCTAAACATCTCTTATGTTCAGTTATTAAACACTATATATATATATTACACGTAAGCAAAACATACAAACATAGGTTTATTCTTAGAGAGTATACTCACCCCGGTATTAAATTTAATGGTAGCAATTTCATTCAATCTAGAAGATATTTGTCTCTCATAAGTACTGTGTATATCCATTTCTGTCTTCATTTCTTGTTTTATCTCTTGTTCTTCCAAGTGAGAGGGTGAGGAATTCTGAATATTCATAGAGGAATCTACCATCATATTTACTCTATAGACAGATAAACAGACAGAAAGTACAAAGCACTTCACTTTGACCATGGCCTCAGTTAGTTTCTTCTGTTTGTTTTGGGCCCTACTCCATAGTGCTCAGGGCTTACCCCTGTCTCTGCTCTCAGAGATCACTCCTGGTGAGCTTGAGGGACCATATGTGGGGTTCCAGGAATCAAGTGCAGGTCAGCCATGTGCAGGCCTTACCCACTTGTACTATCTCTCTGGCCCCGCCTCAATCCATTTTATCTGGATAAAATAAAGTAAGATTCCAAAATGGGAAGACTGCTTCATGTTTCTCACTGGTGTATTGTAGAGACATGGCATGAGAAATCTGATTCTTAACACACTAGAGGACTGCTGTCAGTTTATGGTATAGTTTCTACCACTTTGTGGCAATTGGAGGAAAACAAATACAATGCATTTTATGATGTTTCACTAATTTGGAATATATTAAAATGAAAGGACTTACTTTTTGTAGGATAACACTGTTTTGTCCTTCCTGCATAGCCTCAGGTAGTTTAGGTTTATTGGGTTGCTTCCCTCACAGTGCTCCCATTCCTCTGTGTTTATTTGTAACTTCTTACTTTGTGCTCTGTTGGCTTGTAAATATTGTTTTTCTCTTCTCCCTAAGTTCTTTGCATAGTTTATTCAGAGCAATGTCCTTTTTGTATGGACACAAGAACACATGCTTTTGTAATGTGACTCTCAGTGATATTTCCCTCCTGGGCATCTGTTCTCTCACCTAAGCCTCAGCTGCCTTTACTTCCCTAGTGCCCCCAAAAGCAGGGTCCTGAAGAGGGACTGGATGGAACCAGCACAAGCAGTAAGCTATGTGCTACCCTGGCATCAAGATGGGCCTGGCTGAAGTGCCATAATGCTTAACTATAAGTTAAGAGCTTGGTCATGGACAAATGCTGTCATGATCCAAAAAGCAATAACTAGATTTGGACCCTGCTAGGGTTGGGAAAGATTAATCTGGCCTGAGCTCTGTAGTCTGAGTCTGTGGCAAGATGTTCCCAGGAAAGCTGCTCTACAAGCCTCAAAGTTATCTCTTACTGTGTCCATACAAAAATAACTAATATTGATATGTTGATAGTTATTGGATGGACTGAGGAAAGGAGAAAAACACCTTAAGAGGTATTTTGCCCTTGGGCAGTCAGGAAGGGCTTTGGAATGCCTTTTAGGTAGTGTTCCCTTTGAACCTGGTGGGTCCTCAAGAAGAGCTTTCTTATGTTGTTTTGGCTACCTGACTGGGTGCAGTGTCAGCCTAGAGTGCAGGGCAGTTGGAGAGGTAAGAGAGCTGGATGGAGAGAGAAAGCAGGGCAGCATGATGGACCCTGGAGAGGCTAGCAAGGGGGACAGAGAGAAGAATGTAGAAGAATACAGGAGCAGGCACGTGGAGAGAGAGAGAGAGAGAGAGAGAGAGAGAGAGAGACCAGGCTGCGAGATGGAGCGGAGAGATGAGCAGAAGAGACAGAAGGAGACGGGAATGAGGAACAGTGTGAGACCAGAAAGGGAGGCTCAGAGAGACTGGGGCAGGCGCGTGGGGAGAATGGAATAAACGGTAACTGATCAATCAACCGGTTTGGCCCTCGTTTCGTCCACTGTCTGCCCAAGGGCCCGGGCTGCCCCAGCTGGGTGAGCGGCACCCCAAACGCTCGCAGCTAGGGGAAGAGCTGTTGGGGCCTCCCCCTGGCTGCCCTCAGATAGAACAGCGGTAGGACGTTTGCCTTGCATGCCTCTGCCCCTCTCGGAGAGCCCAGCAAGCTACCGAGATTATCTCGCCCTCAAGGCAAAGCCTGGCAGGCTCCTCTGATGTATTCAATATGCCAAACACAGTAACAACAAGTCTCACAATGGAGACGTTACTGGGCCCGCTTGAGCAAATAGATGAGGACAGTGCTACAGTGTTACACAATAAAAATAACATTTTTGGAATTAAAACTTTATGAAGTGATAGGAACAGTGAATAGTACAGTTTCTTACTACTGCCTCTATCAGAAATTGGATCTTTGGATGTGGATATTTGAGAATCAGTTCCTATATTGATCTATACACATAAAGAATAAAATATACATACTGTATATATTATTATAATTGATGGAAGAAACTATTAAGTAGAAAAAAAACATCGTGTGTTGCTTTAGTCAAAATGCTTGCTAGAAAGTACATGATTTTTCCATGAGACTCAAACTTTTTTTTTTTGCTTTTTGGGTCACACCCAGTGATGCTCAGGGGTTACTCCTGGCTCATGCACTCAAGAATCACTCCTGGTGGTGCTCGGGGGACCATATGGGATGCTGGGAATCGAACCTGTGTCGGCCATGTTGGCTGCGTGCAAGGCAAAGGCCCTACTCGCTGTGCTATCGCTCCAGCCCCGAGACTCAAACTTTAACAACAAATTTGAAAGGTACCTGTCCAGATGGCAAGCTGGATGTGGGGCACAGGGAGGGAACCTGGGAACTCTGGTGGAGGGAAGTTGATAGCGGTGGGATCAGTACTGGAACAGTGTATGTCTAAAACTCAATTATGAATAACTTTGTAAATCATGTTGTTTTAATAAAATAAAACCTGGGGAGGGGCACACCTGTCAATGCTCAGGGGTTACTCCTATCTGTGCACTCAGGAGTCACTCTAGATGGTACTCTGGGAACCATATGGGACACAGGGGATTGAACTTGGATTGGCTGTGTGCAGAGCAAGTGCCCTACCTTCTATCTCTCCAACCTCATAAAATAAAAAAAAATAAGAAAGAAAACACATGATTTCCTTTTCTGCCTTTGCATATGTTCAACCTTTTTTTTTTTAAATATCCCTATGGCCTGAATTCTCCACTATTTAAAAACCACATATAAAATATATTAAAAAACTAGAAGAAGTCATGAATAATCTTCTCCATTGCCCTTCTGGAAGATGTGATAGATCCATCAGGACTTCGGAGGGCAGTCATCTTCGTCTTGTAGTTGGCGAAGAACAGGCGGATGTTGCGAATTCTTTTCCCGGCTTCTGCCCCATCCACCAGCACTGCTGCTTTTTTCTCTTTGAGGTCTTCCTTGATCGCGTCTCTGCACTGTTTTGTGAGCTCTGATGTTCTCTTGCAGTTGCCTGAGGCATGTACCAAGCCACTTGGTGAATAAGCTCAAGAGTTTTGGGCTTTTTTTGTGGTTCTCTCTCTCTTGGCTTTCCTCGCACAATCATGGAGGTGCTGAACCAGTCGATTGCATTCCTCGTCTATGTTGTCAATAATGGCATCTTCCCATGTTGCCGCAACAGAGCCAAAGAGCTCCCAGTTGGTGGTCGTTCTGGGAGTTCTCTTCTTAAACTTTGTATTCCTTTCTCCCTGCTCTGTGAAGTAGAATTTCGCACGAAGGAGATGGTGGTTTGATCCCATTTGGAATCTTGGGATAACAGCAACATCAGTCAGGCAAAACCGTCGATTGAATATGATGTGGTCAATTTCGTTGTGGAACCGTATCCAACATTTAGATTCAGCCTTCTGAAACTGTGAGTTACCATGGATGGTCTTGGTTGACATGATGAACTCAGACAGTCTCTCACCCTGTTCATTCCATTCTAGGCCATGGGTCCTGAAGTGGAGTTCTTTGGCTAATCTTCTCGGTCCTATCTTGGCATTAAAATTGCTGACAGTGATCTTGTAGAAGGTGTGGTCTTCTTTATAGAACTTCTCCAGCTCCATGTAGAACTTCTCAATTTCTTTTTCGCCCTAATTGGATGTTGGTGCATAGACAATGAAGATAGAAACTGCCGGCAGTGAGCCACATCTATTCAAGTATAATTGTCTGATTAGGGTTGTTAGGCATTCGAATGAATCAATGCTCATGGCTCAGTTGTGTTGACAAGGACACCGACACCACCGGTGCCTCTTTTGTCGCATGTTCCAAGGAACAGTTCTTTTCCAGTATCGAAAACGGTGTGATGTGATTGATGCCTTCTCATCTCGGTCAGACCAATGATGTCATACTTGATCTTTCATGCTTGTACTTTGTTTTGGCAGCCTAGTTTGGCCTTGAGATTTTATCAGCCTCTCTTTCCACATGCTTCTCAACGCTGCCGTATTCAGGGTCAGGGAAATGAGATCCATTGTATTTACTGGATTTGGCACATCGAATACACTATGAATAGTTTGCCAGGCTCTGCCATGTGGGTGGGATATTCTCAGTAGCCTGAAAACACAAATAAACTTTACAGGTGTTCCTATTCAGGCATATGTGCTGGTATGATACTCTCAGTAGCCTGCTGGGTTCTCTGAGAGCGAGAATTAGAGAATAAGAAGTTGCGTGGCACCCTTTGCACATATGAAAATACTCACCAGTTAGTTCTTTGGAAGTTTTTTTTTTTTTTTTTTTTGCGTCACACCCGGCGATGCTCAGGGGTTACTCCTGGCTCATATGAGATGCTGGGAATCGAACCTGTGTCGGCCACGTTGGCTGCATGCAAGACAAATGCCCTACCCACTGTGCTATTGCTCCAGCCCCTCTTTGGAAGTTTTGAGGAAGACTTTTGATACTATTTTGATTAGTAACAGATTAATTTCTCTTCATCTGTTATGAAGAGAACAGTTATGATGAACACAGGTTTAAAGTGAAAATGTAGAAAACAAACTTACAGGCAAAGAGTTGCCCAAAAAAGGTCACAGTGCCACATTCCTTTGAGATACATGAGCTCTTTGAAGAGAAGGTGAGACAGTAACCGGAAGTAGATATCCAAGGCCCCACCCAGAGAAGCCTGGACCCTCCCCCCCCCGAAAAAGGGTGAGCTACAGAAGAATCTATGAGATTATAAAAGACCATCAACAGTGCAAGGAGTGAGGTTATGAGAAGATCATCACATTGCAAGGCAATACTTAGGTTAACTTTTATGCATGCAAAACTCCATTAAAAATTTTTGGAAGAATTGTCTAAAAGCTCCTCCCAAATGCATTCAGGGCTTGCTTTTCAAACCTGTGTTCTCCTTTGAACATATTATTTCGCCTGCTTGTTAATATTGAAAGAAAGAGATGGGCTGGAGCGATAGCACAGCGGGTAGGGCCTTTGCCTTGCACGCAGCCAACATGGCCAACACAGGTTCGATTCCCAGCATCCCATATGGTCCCCTGAGCACTGCCAGGAGCAATTCCTGAGTGCATGAGCCAGGAGTAACCCCTGAGCATCGCCGAGTGTGACCCAACAAGCAAAAAAAAAAAAAAAATTTAAGAAAGAGAAGATGCAAAGAAATGGAAATATATACCTTGCGCCTGGACTGATAAGAATAACATTATTAAAATGACCATCTAGGGATTGGAAACTTGCATGTGGCAGGCCCCTGCTGACTCCCCAGCAACAATCCTGAACACTGCCAAGGCTGATTCTGAGCACAGAACCAGAATAAGCTCTGAGCACTGCCAGGTATGGCTCCAAAACCAAAAAGTAAAATAAAACATTTTACCTAAAGACTTACTGCTGGTTCTGCTCAGGGATTACTCCTGATGCTAGGGGTACCATACGCCCTGCTGAGGATTGATCAGAGGTTGGCTGTGTGGAAGTCAAGTTCTGTATATAACCACTGCACTATCTCTCTGTCTCATGTATCTCCTTTGGATTTAGTGTTTTTTGTTATTTGTGTAAATACCTAGGAGTGGGTTGCTGGAACTTATATAGATATGTTTTTAAATTTTTGGAAAAATCTCTCTGCTGTTTTCCATGGAGACTGAGCCAGTTTACATTGCCACTGAGAGAGAATGAGGGCTCCTTTTTCTCCACATCCCTGTCATAACTTATTATTTATGGCCCTTCTGATAGAGGTCATTCTTGGAGCTCTGAGGTGATCTCGGCGTTGTTTTGATTTTCCTTTTCCGTTTCCTTTTATAATAACTGATTATGAGTTCCCCCCATGTTTTTGCTGGCTATATATATGTCATTTCTCGTGAAATGTTTACTGAGCTATTATCCCCATTTGGAATGAGAGTGTTTGCTTCTTGTGTGGCTGAGTTCTGAGATATTTATTTAGATAGTAGTCATTTGTCAAATGCATGGTATGCATGTATTTTTTCACTCAACAGAATGTCTTCTTTTTTTTTTTTTTTGTCACACCCAGCGATGCTCAGGGGTTCCCCCTGGCTCTGCACTCAGGAATCACTCCTGGCGATCCTCAGGGGAACCAAATGGGATTCTGGGAATCAAACCCATGTTGGCCGCGTGCAAGGCAAATTCCCTACCCACTGTGCTTTTGCTTCAGCCCCCAGAATGTTTTCTTGTTGTAACAATAGTTTATTTTGCTGTGCAGAAGCTTTCTATTTTGACTGAATCTTATTTATTTATTTTTGCTTTTGATTTCCTTGCTCATGGGCCCCAGACAGCCGAAGACAGCATTATCATGGAGTATGTATACTATAATATATTTGATTCTACGCTTTTCTAGTCTTGGTTTCAGACTCACATTACACTCTTTAACCCATTTTGACATATATTTAGTATGTGATGTGAGATAATGATCCAATTTCATTCTTCTGCCGATGGCTAGTTATTTTCAAGCACCAGTATTGAAGAGAATTTCCTTCTTCATTTTATGTTCTTGGACTTTTTTTTTTGTTCTTGGCTTTTTTTTTGTTGTAAACTGACTGCTCATCTACATGAAAGTTTATTTCTGATCTCTAAGTTTTCTTTCTTTGTTCTGCTTTATTTGCTTTTATTCCCATACCACACTGTCTATAATTTATATTTATATTCTTACATTTTACTTGCTACTATAAGTTAATAAATTAAGATTTTAATTCATATAATCAGTCTCTTATGAGTTTAATTCATGTAAATAGATGATCCAAAAGCAGTTTTGTGGCACTGAAATTAGTAAATCTCTAAGTGTAAGAGATTTCAGGACTAAGCTTTGTATGAGAAAAGGACATTTTGTGAAAACTTTTAACAGCTAATCAGCTCACTCGCTTTATCTAGTTATGGCCTGAGTTTCCTAATCATTTTTATTTTGAAATTTTTCTCAGTGCAATAAACAGATAATATTCATACTAAATCCATTATGAAAATAATATTGGGTAAAAAAAATAAAGACATTTATAGTACAGAAATTTAAAGGAATTTCTACATACTGAGAGTTTGGACTAGAAATTTCTATGATTATACTTTGATTGTTTTCCTTGACTCATTTTTTTGGGAAGGGGTTGTCACACTCAACTGTGCTTGGTTGCTATTCCTGGATTTTGCTCAGATATCATGTCTGGAAGTGCTGGGCGGGGGGGTGGTGTCCATGCAGTGCTGGGAATTGAACCCAGTGTCTTACACAAGCATGGTAAGTGTAACTCTTAAATTCTCTACCCCAAAAACCCTAGCTCAAAATCTTTATATATCTCCAGTTAGATATATGGAAATATATTGGTATAAAATATTAATATACTCAGATTATTTGATTCTAATATGGGTGAACATTGAAGATATAAAGTGATATTTATATACATTAAACATCGACACACATATAATATGTTCAAACATACATACATACTTTTTTTTACAGTACTGGAATCAAACTCAGATCTTATGTAAGCAAAGCAAGCACTGTATCACTGATACAAATCCTCAGTCAACACACACATATGTTTGTGCCTGCATAAATGCATACATAGATACATATCTACAAATAGGGTGGGGTTTGCTTTCAAATTGCTATGGATTTCAGGAGTAGAACTTTGTTTCTTTTATGGTCATTATTACTCACTTAAGGAATACTTGTTGTATTGTAGTGATTGAAGCACCAAAACTGGCAATGCCCAGCTCACTTTTTTTCTTTTCGAGATCAGTAAATAGAGCTTCAAATCTGGAAGGAGAGGAAGAAAGAAAAACAAAGATCTAGAGCCAGTCTAGATATATATCTTTATGCATTTTTAGTTCACTAAATTTTCAAGAAAATTCAATTTTTGGAAATATGGGCTGGAGCGATAGTACAGTGGTAGGGCGTTTGCCTTGCACGCAGCCAACATGGCTGACCCAAGTTCGATTCCTCCATCCCTCTCGGAGAGCCCAACAAGCTATGGAGAGTATCTCGCCCGCACAGCAAAGCCTGGCAAGCTCCCCGTGATGTATTCGATATGCCAAACTCAGTAACAAGCCTCACAATGTTATTGGGCCCGCTCGAGCAAAAATTGATGAACAACGGGAGGAAAGTGACAGTGACAGTGATGAGCTTTTATTTTTCTCCCCATTTTGTACTTAATTTTAAGGCCCAGTTACATGCTCCATTTTTTCTTTTTTCTGGTAGGGCCTCTTAGGTAATGCTACTCATGACAATAGTAAACCAAGCAGGTAAGATAGTTCAGTGCCAGGAATGACAATGTGGTGTTGCTTGGGTTGAGCAGTGCTGGGCTCTGGCACAGCTTCTGGGGTTGCGCTTGGTGGTCACTAGGACTTTAGACAATGGTACTCAAGGAACATATGATGCCAAACATTGAACTTGGAGCCTTTAGCCCTTTATGCTCTTTGGCACCTGCCTTATCTTCTAGTTTTCCTCCTTGTATTAAATATTTAAGATAGATGGTAGCCCTTTTATCATTTTAGGTATAATTCAATCAGGATGAAACTGAAACAATGTGATTTAACTTACACCAGAAGTGTTTTTTTTATGATCCTAAGCTAAAACTCTGCATACAGTAAACAACAGTTTCTCTAGTTCCCTTTCCCCTCAAGTTCACTTTTACTTCTTTATATCTTAATAGGTTTACCTATTCCCTATGTCTTATATAAATTGGAATCACAATATTTGTTTTGGCTTATTTAATGTAGCATAATTCTTTCTAGGTTCATGTTAAAGTAGCACTGTAGCACCGTCCTCCCACTGTTCATCAATTTGCTCGAGCGGGCACCAGTAGCAGCTCCATTGTGAGACTTGTTGTTACTGTTTTGGCATATCGAATACACCACAGGGAGCTGGTTTCATAGCGCAGTGGGTAGGGTGTTTGCCTTGCATGTGGCCCACCTGGGTTTGATTCCTCCATCCCTCTCGGAGAGCCCAGCAAGCTACCAAGAGTATCCCGCCCACACGGCAGAGCCTATATGTTAAAATACATAAAGAAATCATTATATTCTTTTTAGAATAATGAATAATGAAAAATGAATAACACTCATTATGGACATATATGTTGCTTATTCATTCATTCATTTATCTGTGGACATTTGGGTTTTCTACCTTTTGATTTTTTGAATATGCTGGTATAAGTACTGGAAATAAAATATTTTATCTAAGCCCTGTTTTTTAAAACTTTGGGCATGCATCTAGAAGTGGAATAGCTGAAACAGTTAAGTTTCTGAGGAACTATCTTATTGTTTTCTTTTCTTTTCTTTTTTTTTTTCTTTTTGAGTCACACCTGGCAATGCACAGGGGTTACTCCTGGTTCATGCACTCAGGAATTACTCCTGGCGGTGCTCTGGGGACCATATGGGATTCTGGGAATTGAACCCGGTTGACCACATGCAATGCAAATGCCCTCCCCGCTGTGCTATCACTCCAACCCCATCTTATTGTTTTCTAACATAGAGTTTAGTGTTGAAAATAACCAAAAAGTATTTCTCATTTTACTGTTTCCTTACTATTGTGAATTGTCCTGTGAATTAATAAGGTATGGGCATTTTATTATGATTATTTTTGTTTCTTTCAATAGCTGTTTAAAAATATCCTGAAAATGGAGTTGGAGAGATAGTATTGATCCCTGGTACCCCAAATGGTCCTGAGCACCACTAGGAATAATCCGTGAACACAAAAAGAAGTTATCCCTGATCCACAGAGCCAGGAGTAAGCCGTGTGTGTGTGTGTGTGTGTGTGTGTGTGTGTGTGTGTGTGTGTCTGGTGTCTCCTCTTCCCCCATGCACAAAACTCAAAAAGCTTCATTCTGATCAAATATGTTCTTTCTCAATTTTATGATTTAATTTGTATATTATGCTAGCTTAGAAAATGTCCATAGCTTAGTAATATCTACTATGCTGATATAAATTTGACCATTCATTTCTTTGAGATTCTTCTCTTTTTTCTCTTCAAGGTCAAAAATAGTATGAATGTAGCACTGTAGTAGCACTGTCCTCCAGTTGTTCATCGATTTGCTCAAGTGGTCCCAATAACGTCGCCATTGTAAGACTTGTTGTTACTGTGTTTGGCATATTGAACACGTCACAGGTAGCTTGCCAGGCTTTGCTGTGCGGGCGAGATACTCTTGGTAGCTTGCCGGGCTCTCCGAGAGGGGCGGAGGAATCAAACTTGGGTCAATCAGGTCGGCCGCGTGCAAGGCAAATGCCCTACCTACTGTGCTATGGCTCCAGTCCCAGAATGAATGTATGATAAAAATATTACTTTTTCTAAATCTTTACTTTTCCCATTTTAGGCAATATTAACTATATATTCACCACTGTTGTTCTTTTTTCTGATGTCAGGTATGGTAGTTTAAGGGCTGCTTTCTTTAGGAGATACTTTGTACTTTCGTATTTTTATTATTATAGTAAGTAAGTAAGTAAAGGCCCTCCCGTTGATCATCGATTTGCTCGAGCGGGCCCAGTAACGTCTCCATTGGAGACTTTGTTGTTACTGTGTCTGGCATATCGAATACTCTCGGTAGCTTGCTGGGCTCTCCGAGAGGGGCGGAGGAATCGAACTCGGGTCGGCCATGTTGGCTGCGTGCAAGGCAGACGCCCTACCCGCTGTGCTATCACTCCAGCCCATTATTATAGTAATAAATTATTATTACCCTGCCCGCGCCGCGCCGCGCCCCCCGCGCCGGGCGCCCGCGCCATTTTTCTCCTCCGCCCCTCTCGGAGAGCCCGGCAAGCTACCGAGAGTATTCGATATGCCAGACACAGTAACAACAAAGTCTCCAATGGAGACGTTACTGGGCCCGCTCGAGCAAATCGACGATCAACGGGAGGGCCTTTAAATTTTAATGCAATAATGTACCAAATTTTAAACAATTGCCTAATTCTGCTGAATGATATAAGGAATGTGCACTGGTAGTTTCTTTCATTTCCTCTCCTCTCCCTCATAGGTTAATCACAATGTCTGAATATTGTTTCATGTTCTTGCTATTCAAGAAGTTTCAGATTTGTTCTCTGAATAAATATAGTGCCAATTGAGAATTCCTGTTCATTTAATTCTTCTTAGCAATTCTTTCCTTTCATATATCTTCATTTATTATAATCTTGGACTTCCCTATTCTATTCCCTTCATTCTACAAAGTAACTCTATATCACTATAAATACAGAACAATGCCTAAACAGTGGCTTCCTGTGTGTGACATTCACTGTATAACTGTAAGATACCTAGGCAGAAATAATTTCAGGAGTAAGATGGCAGTCTCAAGGTTGATGATGGATACTCTAAGTTTCCGTTATTAGCTGGAGTAGGAATCGCAGGGGCTAGAATTACTATCCCTGTTTTTTTCCTCTATAACTAAGATTGGCTACTTTTGGGGGCAAACTCCTGGATTTTGCTGTATCCTTGCCACCTGGCACCAAGGCTTACTATTTAAGCTATTTCTCCTTTCATCATAGTCTTTCTCTGGAGTTCACTCATCATCTATACAATACATGCAGTATGAGTATTTTACCATTTTATTTATCCTTATTAATACTAGGAAACTATATATAGTTACTTAGTTCTCAGTAGGTTGCAATACCTCCATCTTCCCAAAGGAAAAAAAAACCCAGAAAAAAAATCAAATAAACTTTTGAATAAACTTGAATTTAAAGAGACAATCCACTGTTCATTAAGAGAAATATTAATTTGTGAACTTGACAGCTTTAATAGGCAAGTGAGAGCTATAATTGGAAACTCGACTTTTAAGAAAAATGCTAGTCATTAAGCTTGCTAATGTTGAAAAAATTATTTCCGATCACATCAATCATCTATCTACAACTCTTTTATTTCATACCCGTGCATATCTCCTTTGGGTAGGATAAATGATAATTCAGATCCGGTACAGTTTTCTAACGTTGCATTAGGAACATGAGACCGAATCATTGCTGAGACCATTTCAACGTCACAGTCTGGTTCCTTCACCAGGATTATGTGATAGCCAGCACCTGAGAGAAACCATTCAGAAGACCAAATGAAGAAGTTCTGTACTCTTTTTTTTTTCTTTTTGGGTCACACCCGGCGATGCACAGGGGTTACTCCTGGCTCTGCACTCAGGAATTACTCTTGGCGGTGCTCGAGGGGCCATGCTTAGGGGACCATATGGGATGCTGGGAATTGAACCCGGGTCAGTTGTGTGCAAGGCAAATGCCCTACCCACTGTGCTATTGCTCCAACCCCATAATTCTGTAGTCTTACATCTCATTTTCAGACCAAATTAGACTTTCCAAAGCTAAAATTATTTAAGTCCTGGAGGAAGAAGTTGTGGTATGTGACAAAACATTGTGTTATTATTCTAGGGAGATTCTAAAAGTTCTTCTGAGATCCAAGATGTTGACTAAATAACAAACTTACACTTAAATTTCAGTAATTAAATTTTAGATAATTCAATGTATATAGTCAGTACAGGTATGAATAAAGGCTCTATAACCTGGTGATCATTTTTGTAACAAAATTCTTGCTAAATATTCACTTGTTTGATATTATTTGTTGTCCATGGTGTAAAAGGGCATTAATCTAGACCACTGGTTCTGAAAGTGGGACTCTTAGGGATGCTAGAATAAACCAAGTGGGGTGGGGGGTGGGGAGAAACCTCCAGTATAATTGGGGCATGGGGGTGCTTCTATTTGCTTGCTTTAAGAGGGAGATTTTCAGGGAGTTCCTAGGTATTTGTTATTGTGTTTGTTGTTGAACACCCAGGGTATTCAGGGTTTACTCCTGACTCTGTGCTCAAGGATCACTCCTGGCAGTGCTCAAGGAGCCATGTGTGGTGCTGGGGATCGAACCCAGATCAGCCATGTGCAAGGCAAGCACCTTACCTGCTATACTATGGCACAGGTAATTTTTTTCTGAATGGGATGCAGTAGGCCAAATATTTTTGAGATGTTTTGACCCAGGGCCTGAAGATAGAGCAGTGAGCAAAACATGCAAACATTCCTGCCCTTCTATGAGCATTTTCTGGTCAAAGGGTATAGAGAATAGCACTGTAGCACTGTCCTCCCATTGTTCATCGATTTGCTCGAGCGGGCACCAGTAACATCTCATAACAAATTGTGAGACTTGTTGTTACTATTTTTTGGTATATCGAATAGGTCACCAGTAGCTTGCCAGGCTTTGCCATGCGGTCGCTATACTCTCGGTAGCTTGCCGGGCTCTCCGAGAGGGGTGGAGAAATCAAACTCGGGTCGGACATGTTGGCTGCATGCAAGGCAAATGCCCTACCCGTTGTGCTACGCTCCAGCCCAGTATAGAGAAAAATGAGGAAGAGAAGTTAAAAATGAACTGTTAAGACAAATTAGAGAAGGAAGATATTAAATGCTGAAAGGTTTTACAGTTTCAAAATTTCAGACCGATCCTGAGAATGTGATTTGATTAATGCTTTTTAATTTTTTTTAGAGACCTTAAAGACATCAGAGAATTATTATATTTATTTGGTGCTTTATCGACAGAAGGAAACATTATTGATTTTAAAATATACGTTTTAATTTGTCATTGTATTTGTGTTAGTGTTCCAACTAACATAAAATTAAATAATGTGGGCCAGGGAATTAGTACAAGGATTCAGATGCTTGTCTTGCAAGTGGCCAACTGTATCTCAATCCCTGGCAGTGATGCTGCTCATGGTTCCCCAAGCACAGCCAGGAGTGATCCTTAAGTAGACCTGTTGTACCATTGCTTGGGCCCCTGTTTATTAATCTCCTAAAATCATGTTTCATTCTGCATTATTGTCATTATCACTGTTCATTCTTTTGGTCAGCATTTAAGTTTTAAAAAAATACTGTTTTGGGGGCCAGAGTGATAGTATAGCAGGTTGGGCACTTGCCTTGAATGTGGCTGACCTGAGTTCAAACCTCAGCCTACCATGTAGTCCCCTTAGTCCACCAGGAGTGATCCCTGAGTGCAGAGACAGGAGTAAAACCTGAGCATCACTGAGTGTGGTCCAAAACCAATACTTTTTTTAAAATTTAAGGTAACAAGTTCATAATAATGCTAACATTTATGGTCCCGGTGTACTGTTACTTCACAAGCATTAGAGTGCCTAATTGCCTCCACCAAAGTAACCACATAGTTACTTTGAGTTCACCTCTTCATTCATGTCCTCAATGGATGCATCTGATGCCAGAGTACATGCATTGAAAGTACAATGAGTAGATCTTCATTCTTCCTCCCCCATTCTTAGTATCAATTGCAAAATCATCCCATCACTTTGAATACATAATACTGACATGGCAAATAAGGGAACTAGGATTAGATATAATTTCTCTATGACTTGTCTGTGTCAACCTATTATAACCTATTATTCAATAAATTACATGTATTACATAGTGCAACTGCATTCCAAGGTCAAAGTAAGTAAATGCAAAAGGTAGAAAGAAGGATGGTTGACTTTCCTACATCTGAAGGTATATATTAAAGAATATGATAAGTATATCTAGGGAATATACGTGTTACAAACAATCTTAAATACCAATTAGAACAGCTGGAAACTTGTTAAGATAAGGAATTATTGAAGGTTGGGATACATAAACAAAATACAATGAAAAATCTCATTAGCAGAACAGAGCATCAATATCTTAAGAATGATCAAAGTAGGAAAGAGACCATATATGTTTTTCAGGAAGTTTGAAGAGCCACAGCACTGCAGAGTCCCTTTGACCATGATGGCAATGCGGTCACCCAGGATGTCTGCTTCATCCATGTATTGGGTACTCATTAATATAGTCCGATTCTGTTTGTAATGCTGAAGGAGACCCCAGGTGGACCTCCTTGAGACTGGGTCCATGGCACTAGTTGGCTCATCAAGTATCACCACCTAAAGACCAAAAGAATAATTTCATAATTTATAACTGATGTTAGCCACATTTATGGAATTTCCCATGTAAAGGGAACACATATAAGATACAGAAACTAGACTAAAAATGGTGATAAGAACTCTAGAAAAAAAATTCCTAACTATATCATAAAAGTAGTGAAAAATTAACATTCCCTTGACAATCCTTGGCAACATTTTTTACATTTTTGAAAGACTCTTATCTATTCTCAGATTTTGTTTTTATCAGCTGAGTTTTCTAGACCACTGTCAGAAACCTATTTTTAAGCACACCAACTCTCATTTATCTCTCCTTCAATACCTTGGAGCCCTGTATCAGTGCTATCATGACAGAGAGTTTGCGTTTCATTCCTGTGCTCAGTGACACTGAAAATTCATCACGCTTTTCTTGCAGGGCAAAAGTAGACAGCATATGGTCAATTTCCACAGACTCACTCTTCTGTTTTCCTTTAATCTAAAAGAGGAACCAGAAGTTATATAGTAAACATCACTTTATTCTTGGATAATGCCTTTTCTTATACATCCAGATAAATGTGTGGTGTTTCTAGCATTCACAGCCTTAAAAGATTCCCTCTGGTTTTTAAATCGGCAACATAATATCTTATTCCCATTGTCTAAAGGTGGTCTAGTAAAACATTTTAAAAAACTTATAAGGAGAACTTAAACTCATAAACAAAAGGGGAAAAACAACTCTAAGTTCTCAGATATGAGGACACACTCTCTTTTATTTCCCACTGAACTCATTTGTTAAAGCTGGAGAACTAGGAACGTTCAGAGTTTTCCAAGAAATTGCTCAGGAAGGGATCAGCGTGGGTAAAGGTTACAGTGGGTAACGGGCTTGATTTGCACACTCCTGACCTGGATTTGATCCCTGGCACACTGTATAGCCTCCGGAGCACTGCCAGGAGTGATCACTGAGCATAGAGTCAGGAGTAAGCTTTAAGCACTGCTGGGCATGGCCCCAAACCAAGAAAAAACCAAAACCAAAACAAAAAAAAATCCAGAAAAAAAACCCCAACCCAATCCCCCCCCCCAAAAAAAACCCAAAACAAACCTAAGTTGATATGGTTTAATTACATTTTATTTATCATTTTAATAAGAAATTTAAATGAAAACAAGTTAAACAATTCTACACACTTTCTCCAAAAAATTATAAAAGTAGCGAATAATTCCTGCTTATTTTATGAAGACAATACCACCACTAATCCAAAACCAATGATAGAAGAATGAGAAAACACTATACATTATATCCCTCCTAACCGGAGGTTCTAAAGAATTATTAAACTGAATTTAATCAAGTATTAAAATGTAAAAAGTAAGGCTATGCTAGTATTTGAAAGTCTGTAACCATAATTCACCATATTCATAGCTTTCAAAAGCAAAAGCACATTATTAATAAGATCCAGAAGGAGCCTTTGACAGTATGCAATATTCATTCATAATAAAAACTGTTAACAAAGTAGAAGTTTCTCGAGTACAAAAAAGGTAATCTACAAAAAAGCTTTATTTAGTTACTTTTTGTTTTTGGACCACATCTGGAGGTGCTTAGGGGTTACTCCTGGCTTTGTACTCAAGGATCACTCCTAGAGGGCTCAGGGGACTTTATGGGGTATTGAGATTGAACACATGTTGCGGCATGCAAGGCAAACACCCCAGCTACTATACTCAATCGCTCTGACTCTACCAAAAGTTTTTTTAAATCTAATTTTATTTATTTTTCATTTTTATTTTATTTTTATTAGTGAAACACCATGAGGTACAGTTGTAGATTTACAAATTTTTGTGCTTGGGTTTCGATTATACAATGATCAAATACCCATCCTTCCACCAGTGCCCATTTTCCACCACCATGGATCCCAGTATCCCTCCCACACCCATTCCCCAATCCCACTCTGCCTCTGTGGCAGGGCATTCCCTTTTGTTCTCTCTCTCCTTTTGGGTGTTGTGGTCTGCAAAAGAGGCATTGAGTGGCAATCATGTTCGGTCCATAGTCTACTTTCAACCTACATCTCCCCTCCTGGGAGGATCCTCCAAACACCCTTTATTTGGTGCTCCCTTCTCTATCTGAGCTGCCCTTTCCCCTAGAATGCCCGGCTGGTCTCTAAGCTATGGAGTAATCCTCCTGGTACTGATCTCAGCTATTCTTGGGTGTTAGTCTCCTATTTTGTTACTTTCTGTCCCCCAGGTGAATGCACTCTTTCTATGTCTATCCCTCTCTTTCTGACTCATTTCACTTAGCATGATACTTTCTATGTTGTACCACTTGTATGTAAATTTTATGACTTCATCTTTTCTAACAGCTACATAGTACTCCATTGTGTAGATGTACCAAAGTTTCTTTAACCAGTCATCTGTTCTTGGGCACTCAGGTTTCTTCCAGTTTCTGGCTATTGTAAAGAGTGCTGCAATGAACAAACAAGTGCAGATGTCACTTCGACTATACATTTTTGCCTCTCTGGGATATATTCCCAGGAGTGGTATTGCTGGGTCAAATGGGAGCTCAATTTCTAATTTTTTGAGAATCGTCCATACTGTTTTCCAAAAGGGCTGAACCAGTCGGCATTCCCACCAACAGTGAAGGAGTGTCCCTTTCTCGCCACATCCACGCCAGCATCGGTTGCTTTTGTTCTTTTGGATGTGGGCCAGTCTCTGAGGTGTGAGATGGTATCTCCTTGTGGTTTTGATCTGCATCTCCCTGATGATTAATGATGTAGAGCATTTTCTCATGTGCTTTTTTGCCATTCGGATTTCTTCTTTGAGAAAGTTTCTGTTCATTTTGTCTCCGCATTTTTTGATGGGGTTGGATTTTTTTTCTTGTGGAGTTCAATCAGTACTTTATATATCCTTGATATCAACCCCTTGTCAGATGTATATTGGGCGAATATCCTTTCCCATTCTTCTACCAAAAGTTTTAACAATGAAAAATTGAATACTTTTCTCCTAAGATCAGAAAAAAAGTTAAAGAAGTCTACTCTCAGAGCCTGAGAGACAGTAAATTGGATACAATGTTTATATGCAGCACACCTGGGTATTATCCCCAGCACCACTTATTGTCCCCCAAAACACTTGAGGAGTGATCCCGGGAACAGAATCAGTAGTAAGCCCTGTGAACCGACATGTGTGCCCCCCCACCCCCAGCCCTCTGCAAAAAGGAGCCCATTCTAACTAACCACACAATCACATTCCTTGGCAGTGCAACTGGTAAGAAAAATAAATAAGAGGGATACAGATTGGTACATAAGTACGATCCTATGGACAGTGTCCTATCAATCATGTAAACTCGAGCGGGCCCAGTAACGTCTCCATTGAAGACTTTGTTGTTACTGTGTCTGGCATATCGAATACGTCATATTCGTATGGGGAGCTTGCCAGGCCCTGCCGTGCGGGCGAGATACTCTCAGTAGCTTGCCGGGCTCTCCGAGAGGGGCAGAGGAATCGAACTTGGGTCAGCCATGTTGGCCGCTTGTAAGGCGAATGCCCTACCACTGTGCTATCGCTGCTAGAACCTCCATGTAAACTAGTGGACACAAAAACTGCTTCAATACTCCGAGTAAAGAGTAAAACATAAAGAGAGATACCACACATATGTAAGAATAAATATACCCAAACAGGCATTGAATTGACAAACTAAAACCTCAAAACAGTGATAACAGTAAAGATCTAAATTGATAAGACTGTGGTCAAGAATTTCAAGCCTTGGGGCTGGAGCAATAGCACAGCGGGTAAGGCGTTTGCCTTGCATGCGGCTGACCCTGGTTTGATTCTCAGCATCCCATATGGTCGGTCCCCTGAGCACTGCCAGGGGTAATTCCTGAGTGCAGAGCCAGGAGTAACCCCTGTGCATCTTCGGGTGTGACCCAAAAAGCAAAAAAAAAAATAAGGAAACTTAAAAAAGAATTTCAAGCCTCAATCACTTGATCACTTGACTTCCTGTTAATCATCGATTTGCTCGAGCGGGCACCAGTAATGTCTCCATTCATCCCTGTTGCGTGCTAGTGTAGCCTAATGGCATCTGCTCATTCTAGGAACACAAAGAACCTCAAACCGATTGTTCAGGGTCTTGATGAAGAAGTCTGACCATCTCGTAGGTGAGCGGCCACGTGATCTTTTGACATTCTGTGGAATCCAGTCAGTAACGGCTCTATTCCAGAGGTCATCTCCAAATCTCATTATGTGTCCAGCCCATCTGATTTTTGACACCTTGGCAAACGAGAGAGCGTCCCTGATTCTTGACTGTAGACAGAGGTCAGAACTCTGGATTCTTTCTCTCATTTGAGTGAAACTCAAATGAGTGATACTCCAACCATAGCTCTTTTGATTCCTCTTTGGGAAACCTGAATAGCATTCTCATCCTGTTTTTGTAGGGCCCAGGTCTCTGAGGCGTATGTTAATGCAGGAAGAACAGTGGAATTGAAGAGATGTGCCCAGAGCTGTAGGATCTTCATCTTCTTAGCTATTTCTTTGACACTTTTGAAGGTGTTCCAAGCTGCTTTCTTCCTCCTGCGCAATACAGGTGTCAGGTCATTTGTCATGTTGACTTCTTGACCTAGGTACACACAACTGTTGCATTTGGAGATGATCGTCTCGTTGAGAGTGAACGAAACGTCAGGAATGAGACTATTTCTCATAAACATTGTCTTCATGAGATTCAGCTGTAGTCTGACCTTACCACACTCACGGTTGAAGTCGGCCAGCATCTGTGCCGCTTGGCTAATGTTTGGTGTTATTAGAATGATGTTATCAGCAAAGCAGAGGTAGTGTTGTTGCCGACCATCTATCTTCACTCCCATTTCTTCCCATTCCAGTCATCGCATGAGGTTCTCGAGGGTGGTACTGAAGAGTTTTGGTGAAATGGTATCACCCTGCCTATCCCCTCTCTTGACATCAATGATCACTTCTTTGTAGAATGGTGAGATCCTGGTAGTGATTCCTAATACAGCTCACGGAGGATCCTGATGTATTGAGTTTGAATGCCCTGATTGGCTAGGGCTTCCATGACCGCTTCTGTCTCAGCAGAACCAAAGGCCTTCTTTAAATTAATGAACGTCAGAGAGAGAGGCATCTTGAACTCCCAAGAAACCTCAATGAGCTTGGTTATTGTGTGGATATGGTCGATGGTGCTGAATCCTTTTCGTAACCTGGCTTGCTCACATGGTTGTCCTTCATCTAGTGTTCTGCCAATCCTGTTCAGGATGACTTAAGTGAATAGCTTGTAGATGACAGACAATAGGCAGATTGGGCGATAGTTGTCGATGTCGTGGATGTCTCCCTTCTTGTGCAGTAGTACAGTCCTGCTGGTTTTTCATTGGGACGGAACCTTGCATTCAGACAGGTAGCGCATGAAGAGCCAAGCCAGTGTATTGATGAATACTGACGGCAGGTTCTTCAGGTGTTCAGGTCTGACCTTGTCTGGGCCGGGTGCTGTTCGCTTCTTTACTGACAAAATGGCGTGTG